ATCGCACCAACCCAGAAACCTTGGTTGAAATCCTTAGTACTGCCAATCCAAATATCAAGGCCATTGGCATTTATGCAGATTTGGCAGACATATCCAGCATCAAGAGTATTTGTGCAAAGGCTATTGGATTATCCCCAACTGGCCAGATCGATGTATTGATAAACAATGCGGGAGTGCAATACCGTTCCCCATTTAACGACTTTCCAGAGGACGAATGGAATAAGGTGCTTGACGTGAACCTTCATGTTCCTACGTTGTTGACCCGTGAAATTGGGAGACACTTCTTAGATAAGGGTATCCAGGGAAGAGTTATTTTCACAGCTTCTCTCCTTTCATTCAGCGGCGGGTTGAATGCAAGCGCCTATGCCTGTGCCAAGGGTGCATTAAAACAATTGACTATGTCCTTGTCGAATGAATGGGCTAAGCATGGAATTACCGTGAATTCCATTGCTCCTGGTTACATCGACACCAAAATGAATGTTAACGTGATGAATGACAAGGCCCGTTTCACACACTTGTCCAGTAGAATCCCAGCAGGAAGATGGGGAGTTCCAGGCGATTTCAAAGGACCAGTGGTTTTCCTCTCCAGTGAGGCTTCTACGTATGTGACTGGTATCACATTATTGGTTGATGGTGGGTGGCTGGGTTGGTAGATGCCAGTCGTAGAGATTTTCTGAGATTTGGTTGTCTAGTTTTGGAGAATCCATGTGAATGGTCGAATGAATGCCAGAGATAGAAACAAACGATTACTTAGTGGAAGAATATTGCATTTAAAGCACAATATTGAGCTCTCCCCAGAGAGAAATCGTACAATATCCGTATACCGATTAAAGGCTCCTTATTGTAGGTAACACCTATCTCAAACTACATATACCGGTCATCTATAGAAGTAGCCTCTCTTGCATATTGTGTTGCATATCTACCAACAGAGGTTTATCTTACTATAACAATACTAGTAAGGCAATACAGGGCCCCAACCAAAGCTATCAATTCCCTAAAGAAGGCTATACGGGCCATATAGCGATCATCGGTACTTAATAAGTTATTACGTAATTATGGCATATTAATTGATCATGGTATACACGAATAATTAGATCTCCAGGGAGTAAACTATCTTTTTATAACTCAGCGAAGGGCCAGTAGTTCCTTAGTTAACAAACGGGGAAGCAGGACTAAGTATACACGCCCCAGTTCCGCTCTTGGGTCGCTCAAGAATGAATAACACAAGGTTCAACAAACTTTGTATTATAGATTTTCTTTGATTAGCAAACGGATATTCCGCTTTTTTCTTGGTTTCAAGTCTCTTCAGCTGAACTCCTTGATCGGACTTATGACTCCACAAACTGCGTGCCCTTAATTACATCCTGCATATATCATATCTCACGTGTCTGACTCTCTCTGATAGAGAAATTTTAATTTTCCGCTGACTCTGACCGCATCTCCGCGCCATGAAAAATTCCATACTTAACTTCTCCTACCCCCAGTTGCTGCTCTATACTCTACATTCTTTACACGAATACACACGTATAATGGACTCTAAAACAATTGGTATCCTCGGTGGGGGACAGCTCGGGCGCATGATTGTGGAGGCCGCTCACAGACTCAACATCAAGACTGTGATTTTGGATGCGCCCAACGCGCCGGCCAAACAGATCAACGCGTTGGACGAACATGTGGACGGCTCCTTCACGGACCCTGCAGCCATTGCGAAGCTTGCAGCCAAATGCGATGTGTTGACCGTCGAAATTGAACACGTGGATGCCTCTGCACTCGCAGATTTACAGAAGGCGACGGGGATTCAGGTGTTCCCAGTTCCTGAGACAATCAAGCTCATCCAGGACAAGTACCTGCAGAAGGAGCACTTGATCCGGCACGATATCGCCGTAGCAGAATCCGTCGCGATTTCTGGTGCTACCGATGCGGAAAAGCGCGTGGCACTTTTGCAGGTGGGCGAACAATTTGGCTATCCGTACATGCTCAAGTCGCGCACCTTGGCATACGACGGAAGGGGAAACTTTGTGGTGAAGAGCGCGGAGGCGGTCGATGAGGCACTCCAGGACTTACACGACCGTCCGTTATATGCGGAGAAATGGTGTCCGTTCACCAAGGAATTGGCGGTCATGGTGGTAAGATCTATCGAGGGCGAGGTGTATGCGTACCCAACGGTGGAAACCATTCAGAAAGATAATATTTGCCACTTAGTGTACGCGCCGGCGCGCATTTCTGATACGCTCCGCAACAAGGCGGCTATGTTGGCGAAAAATGCGGTCAAATCGTTCCCGGGGTGCGGGATCTTCGGCGTGGAGATGTTTTTGCTTCCAAACAACGAGCTTATTGTGAACGAATTGGCGCCACGTCCGCACAACTCTGGACACTACACGATCGACGCGTGCGTTACCTCGCAATTCGAGGCGCACGTGCGAGCGGTGGCTGGGTTGCCACTCCCACGCGACTTTGCGCGTCTTGCCACCAGCTCCACCAACGCCATCATGGTGAACGTGTTGGGGGCTTCTACGCCAGATGGTGAACTTGCAATGTGCGAGAGAGCGCTCCAGACCCCTGGTGCCTCTGTGTACTTGTACGGGAAGACTACCCGTCCAGGCAGAAAGATGGGGCACATCAACATTGTTTCGTCCTCCATGGACGAAACTGAGCGCCGTCTCGCCTACATTATGGGTGAAGACGTAGCTCCCGTTGTAGATGAAGTTAAGGAGACCCCGCTTGTGGGGATTATTATGGGTTCTGATTCTGACCTTCCGGTGATGGCTCTCGGTGCTGATATCCTCCAGAAGTTTGGCGTGCCGTTTGAGTTGACCGTGATCAGCGCCCACAGAACGCCGCAGCGCATGACCGAGTACGCGACCCAGGCGCACACGCGCGGTTTAAAGGCGATTATCGCCGGGGCTGGTGGGGCTGCTCACTTGCCCGGTATGGTGGCAGCCATGACGCCGTTGCCGGTGATTGGTGTTCCGGTGCGTGGATCCACCTTGGATGGTGTGGATTCATTGTATTCGATCGTGCAGATGCCAAGAGGGGTGCCTGTGGCGACAGTGGCGATCAACAACGCGACTAATGCGGCGTTGTTGGCAGTGCGTATTTTGGCTGCGTGCGGGATTGACAACGGGAAGTACATGACCAAGATGCTTACGTATATGGAGGGCATGGAAACTGAGGTGTTGGGGAAGGCGGAGAGGTTGGAGCGTGTGGGATACGAGGAGTACTTACAGGGGATGAAGAAGTAAACATCGACAAACTTGGGCTTAACCTTTGACAATTAGCCCTCACCCCTTCTTGGATTTTGCCATACGATATACAACTTGTGTAATAATGAATACGTTTAGATTTTGATCTTTCTGTGCGGTCATGGGGGCTATCTACATGTGAAGATAGAGGCGGCGCGATTCTGAAGCGTAGCTGTAGACCACCCGATTTAATCCAGATGATTGTTGCGAGCTTCGAATTAATACGGTTAAAGATGCCACATCACATAATAAAATATCTGTCTATCAGTCGTCGCAGGCTTCATTATCTTAAGCTTCAATCGCCAAGCGATATAATCTGAGTTCCTAGTGGGTATTACTCCGCTCTGAATCGAGTTTAAAGGCCGTATTAAAAACTGTACTGGCTGTGCATATATGAAATTTGGCGATTAGCGCTTAATGCAGGACATATGCCCTTTCTTGCGTACGCCTCTTTTTTCTCATTATTCTGAGGAGTGAAATGGAACGTTTGCCATAACAAATTACACCCAGCTAGCAGCTTATTCATACACCTTTACCCAACATGAGCATTCAAATGAACTTAGTAAGTACTTTTTTCTCCAGCGTCTTACACCCCCCCTAACACCTTTAGGTTTTCCTCATCTTAATTGGTGAATTGGCGATTCTCGCTGTTCTTGTGGCGCCTCTTCCGCAGGTTGTGCGTTCCAAGATCGTGGATTTAGCCACATTTGCGATGCGCCAGGTCCATTGCCAGGTCATTTCCGTATTTTCTAGCGCCCTCATTGGGTTGATGTTCTTGGATAGCGTGCACAAGCTGGCAAGAGCCGCGCCGCCGGCCCTTAACCACCCATTGGGCACTGTTGCGCCGCCACCAACCTCTGAGCAGTTGGTCAGAGTCTTTTACGCACAGAGAAATATGTACTTGACCGGTGCCGTATTGTTCTTCGGTATGGCTATTGGAACCGTCGTGACCATTCTCAAGCAGTTGGTGCGCGCTCAGAAACGTTTGGCGGCCGTCAAGGGCGATAGCTCTGAGGGCGGTGCCAGCGAGGGGTCTCTTCAGGAGATTGACAACTTGAAGAAGGATTTGAACAAGAAGGAGATGGATGTGAACACGTTGAAGAAGCAGGTGGACGGGTTGGGAAGGGCTTTTGATGACTTGGCTGACACTGTTACCGTAAATTCAGGCGACAAGAAATCCGATTAAAAGATGGTGAATGGGATATCCGTATTATTGTATTCTAACCTTGGTTGGTTTTGAATAATATTAATGTTCTCAGGCAAGTTAAGGTGCTCCTCTAAATAGCGGTAAACATTTAGATGGTGTTAAATTCCACTTCTTCTTGGATGAGACGTCATAATTGGTGGGGGGTTGCTTTAATGCCAACAGGAGAGTGAATAGCCAATTATTTCGGCGTTCAAATTAGCAAGTACATCGGAAACTTGGAGAATAGTTTTGCTCATTAGCTATTAAATAAATCTAAGCATATTCTCCTATAATTATTAAGCGCTGAAAATTTATTAAATTTTGGTTGGCAAGGCATAAGAAACCTTTCTGATGGGTTTACGGGTAAAACCTCAATCTTGGTTTTATTAAGGACCTGCCACCCGCAGATAGCTCTTTCGCGTACGCCACGAATCACGCAGGGACGGGCTGTGCTGTCTGGTGTAACAATCCTACATATTGGGCATCGGTCATAGCTACAGAGTGTGGGCCGAGATAGGTCCAGATTAGATAGCTTTTAGATACTGAAACTTTGTCAAAGGCATAAAACCTATAGAAGGTTAGGCTATTTGCGCTATAAACATTACTGGCCAAGGCACGAGCCTCCTGTCGGGAAGTATGAGGGCACGCTTTCGTATAGCTCTAGCGTACTTTAGGCCATCGCGCACGTGATGCGCTCCTTCCTGCCTCGCTAAATAAATCGCTCTTGCGTTAGCTTATCACACCCCTACTCATCCATAACTATACATCATGTCCACATCAAACCCCGTCACTGCAGTAAAATTGGTGCTTCTCGGAGAAGCCGCCGTCGGAAAATCCTCACTTGTGTTGCGCTTTGTGAGCAACGACTTCCAGGAGAACAAGGAGCCCACAATCGGGGCGGCGTTTTTGACCCAGCGCTGCACCATCGGCGCCAAAACCATCAAATTTGAAATCTGGGACACAGCAGGGCAGGAGCGGTTTGCTTCGCTAGCTCCCATGTACTACCGCAACGCTCAGGCCGCGCTCGTGGTATATGACGTCACCAAGCCCGCGTCCTTCATCAAAGCCCGCCACTGGATCCGCGAGTTGCACGAACAGGCCGCCCCCAACATCATCATTGCGTTGTGCGGAAACAAGTACGACTTGATCGAGGGTGAAATTGAGGGTGAGGACGCCAAGCGAAAGGTGAGTGTGGAGGAGGGCCAGAAGGTTGCTGAGGAGGAGGGGTTGTTATTCTTCGAAACTAGCGCAAAGAGCGGACACAACGTGAACGAGGTCTTCATGGCTATCGGCCACAAGATCCCGGAGAAGCGCAGTGAAACTGAGCGGTCAGCTGGTGATGCCGCACGCGAGGCAGACAGGGTCGACTTGAGCAACGTCGTGAATGACACTCAAGCCGACGGGTGTGCGTGCTAGGCATCTGAAATTTGAAGGTAAGATCTATTTACAATTTAATACGTATAAGTTTAATGACTTTGGTGTAGGGGTGGAGAATGGCCAGATATGTTTAAAATACAGCGCGTTGTATGATGATGAAGCTGGCAGAGAAAGCATGGGGGGTTGGTATTTTCCAGGTAATATTACGCAGGAGGATTAATATAGAAGAGACTGGGAGGGCTAAGGTGGGGTATGAAGCGGGTAGAAGAAGGTAGATAAGCTAAGGAATTATAATTAGTGAGTATAGATACTGGTGATAATCCGAGGTTGAATACTCTTACGGTTTGATTGCATGGCGTACAAGGCTGACCATGAGGGGGTTGATTTATATTGTACTGGGAGAGCTAATATTACAACTATGTGTGTGAAATAGAGCAAAAAAAAAACTACCAAAATACACTCCCTTATCCCTTAAAGATATTATTAGTGGTACAGCTATGTTAAAAATATGACCCAAAGCTTCAGATTGGAATTTTGGCATAAGTTACTGTTAATACGAGCATTGTCATACGGGAACTTGATCACTGGGGTTACCGTTGGAGAGTAACGGCTGTTAAAAGAATGTTCAATCTCGACGACTGTTCCTCATTTCTGGCAATTTACATGCACCCTGTAAAAATAAATGTTTACATGGAACTAAATACGCTCTGCGACGGATCCAAGAATCTACTCAGACTGCTCTAACAAAAAAGTTCTGACCTTGTCCAAAGCTCTGTATCTGTGTGAAATCAAGTTCTTGGTCTCCTTGGACATTTCAGCATAGGTTTCGGTGTAGCCCTTTGGCTGGAAGACGGCGTCCCACCCGAAGTCGGTTGGCCCTCTGGCTTTCAGCACGATGGTGCCCTCGGTGACCCCCTGGAACAACACAACATCCTCTCCTGGGCCCTTGCAGTAGCCAAATGTACAGTATGCCTTTGCAGACTTGTCATCAAAGCCTGCTAAGAGCTTGACAATACCCTCTAACCCCAAGGACTCCACAAACCACTTGATGTATGGACCAGGCAAGCCGTTGAGCGCATCGTAGCCCAAACATGTGTCTTCCACTAGAACTGGGCGTTGCAAGAGCTCAGCAGCCTTCTTGGCCTTGAAAATGGTGACTTCTTCGATTGTCCCCTGAACTTCTTCCAAGTCGAGGGAGTTATTTACAACTGTGAACTTGCCCACCTTGTGAGACCCGTCATTAGAAGGTGGAGCGCCATGGGAGAGAATGTGGACCACTTCTCTAAGCTTATTGGAATTTCCGGTGACGAAGGTGATGGTGTCAGACATTAGAGGTATAGGTATTGAATGAATCGGCAGAGGGAGAAGTGTTTCTTCCTCTTTTATTCAAACGTTTGACATGTGTATAAAATTCTGTGAGCCGCAGACTTACTTTGCTTGAACAAAATCTAAGGTCTGATTGGCTTATTTTTGATAACCATCAGTCTCAATATACCGTGATTTAAAATTTTTGAATTTCTAGTACAAAAATCGATTGTATCAGACGATACCATCCTTTCTTACAGCTTAGTCTTCATATTAATGTAATCGATATGTATAAATCAGCAATGTATGGACACAGCTTTTTATTGCCCAATTACATTTTTATACGCACCGGAATCTTAAATTATAGCATTCAAGACTTTGAATAGCTAACCTTCAGAGATAACACCGATTCATCTGATGAAGCCCCATGTGAAAGCATCGTTTTGCACTCTTCTCCTGTGACACCATTACAATGCTTACACAAGGCATTGCATACAAGATGTGCCCCATCCTTTCCGTGAATCACTCTCCCCACCTCAAACCACCAGATCTTAGCTTTGAATACCTCCTCCTGTTTTTAACAAGCACCTAAAGCATCTATGCTTACATTAGTCTCATAGTCTATTAAACCATTTCTACGTGCATATACCACTCCTCTGCGGCTCTAACAATACGCATCGTAGCCATGTAAAAGTGCTTACCCGCCAGGTCTATTCTCGCTCGTCTCTTACCGTCCGACAATTGTCATCCCGCTGCATTCACGTTGTGGAAATATCTCAGACCCAGTCGCTCCCGAAAGAGTATTACAGCCGCCAATTTGGTTTTAAAACCCGCCGGTGTATCGTTGTACCAGAAACTCAGACGCAAGGGCTCCCCTTTAAAGCAGACTGTCAAGCACCCGCTCCGCTTTGCCGCCGCCTTTTACCGCGCCTTCCGCCGCGTGAGACTCGAAAAGAAGGCCCGAAGCATCACCCAATTACCGCAGATCAAAATGACGTTCCGAGAGGTTCGCAGTGCATCGCCTGACGTAGCCAGCGCGAATTCAGCGTCGTCACGCCGCCTGCGCCTCCTCGGGTATGTCAAGTCTGCACGCATCACCACCTCCATTCTGAACTTCGCATACGATGCGTCCAGTGCGACGCAGCGCGCGTTGGATGCGCTGCTCAACGAGACAAACATTCTTAAGGGTGCGCTGGTGGTGTTGTACCCGTCGTACTGCCGCAAGACCGACGATGGTTACGTCACGAAGGTACGCGGCTGGGTCAACTCCCCTGGTGGGATGACCAAAAAGAACCGCTTGCTCATTGGCTTTGCACGCCAGTTGGTCAAGCTCAACGCCACCAACGTTCCGCTGAAAGCCGACGAGACCACTGCGGAGTTGTATGAGAATGAGCTAAAGGAGACGGAAGACGACGACCTCACAGCGCGTCCCGTGAGGAGCGCCGACAGCTCTTCGAGCACGCTCACTTCCACTTCGCTGAATTTGTCTACGAACTCGGACCTGCTTCTCAATCAGCGCATCGCCGCGTTCATCGCCCGTTCTGTCACCAACCTCGAGTTGAATATCCACATTGGCTCGGAAAGCCCGATGCATCCGGACGAAGTGGTGCACACGACGGTCGTCACGGACCTCAATGGCCACTTCTCCACCCAGATTACCACCATCTACAAGCCGTCGCTCACTCACGTGCACGTCGCATCGGATGAAACCATCTTCTCCATGGATGAGCCGTTGCTTGTGGGCACTAGCGGCGTGTCAGTAATTTCCGATATCGACGACACTATCAAGCTTACGGGTGTAACTGGTGAGAAGCGCCAGCTCTTCACAAACGTGTTTGCAACCGAGGTTGCCGCCTGGACGATTCCCGGAGTGTCTGACTGGTACAACGCCATGCACGACCGGGACGTACAGTTCCACTACGTGTCGAATTCGCCGTGGCAGTTGTATCCTGGGCTCCAGGAGTTTTTTAAGGCGTCGCCGTTCCCTCTCGGATCGATACACTTAAAGCAGTATTCAGGAAACCTCATTAACAGTTTCATGGAACCGCTGGTGGAGCGCAAGCGCGCCTCGCTCAAGGCTATATTGAGCGACTTTTCCCGGCGGAGCTTCATCTGCGTGGGTGATTCTGGCGAATACGACTTTGACGCATATTGTGAGTTGGCCAAGAACTACCCGGGGCAGGTTGCAGCGATATACATCCGGTGTGTTCCGGGAACGTTTTCGGATTTTGATGACAAGGAGGTGCTTCGCGATTTGAGACGGAGTATCCAGAACTGGAAGACTAGGCCTTGTTTGACAAAGCCACCAGTGTTGGGAGTCGGCCAAGAAATTGTCTCCGAGACCTCCACCGAAGATGGGGTTTTCAACTCAACCCCCCCACCTCATAATCTTGATTCAGACCCAGGCCACGATTTGTCTCAGGAATCGGGTGTGGTATATAATGACGCTCCGTTGATCATCCTCGATGAACCTGCTAAGAAGGCCCCGATGATCCCAAAAAAACCAACCTCACTCAGGGGTCAGCAACTTGCTAAGCTGCCTGAAATCTATCCACAGCTCGCTAAACTGTCTGAAAACGTGGAGCCTCTGTCTGAAGCCTTGAAGCCTCCACTTCCGGTGAGACCGGTCCAGGCCTCTGACGACAAGCCGCCGGTGCCCCCGCGTAGACGAACCCCATTGGCATCGCCGCCGTTACCACGCCGTCCGATAGACATTCGTTCGAATGCCTCCTCTCCCGCGCTTACATCGATGACTCCGCCGACTGGGGTCAGCCACTACGCTACCGAGCCTGTGATTGTGCCGTCGTCACAGGAGTTCAACGTTCCGGGGCTGTTTGCGCTCGGTTTTGTGGACCACAAGGGCGACATGTGGCGCTACAAGCTCAAGGCGTGCTTGGACGGCTTAGATCCCGCCACTGACGTGGTATTTTGGAACGATCCGAGCGATGTGTCGGAGAGAGCATTGACTCTCGTGAAGGAAAAGGAGCAGGCTATGGCAATTAACAAGTAATTATGGGTTATTTCTGTCGAAGCTAAAGACAGCTGTATGGCTGTGATGCTAAAGTTTGATTAAAACAAAGGTACAGGGTGGGTTTTATTGACCATGATGTAGTGTTTTGCTATAGACAGGGTGTATAAAGCTGTAGGCTTGATTAAAACTTGTGTATGCCTCGGCTGATGTTGCATTTATACCATGGGAAAGTAGTTTCGCCTCCAGCATGGAGGTTGGATAATAGTTTTCTAGGTGGCATACCCAGGGCTTACATACGATCTTTGGCCCGAAGTAGCAAGAAATAGAACGTTCATATCTATATACATTCGCCGACGGATATGCAACACCCGCGTACTGGATGTTAGACACATGGCAGAAACCAGGACTCTCGCACCTCATTCTCCTACACCTGAAACAAGGTTCTATTCTCATTCAGATGCATCCTTGGATTTTATGGGCCGTTTGTCTCAGCCTAGTTGTAACTCAATTATTTTACCTTTCAATTTTCCCGGAAGCGCAGCTAGAATCCTTCTCAAGAGTTGGATCACGCTGTGGTGCTATAGACATCTATGATACCCACCCCCTTGAACTACCCAGACGCCCTGATAAGCATGAAACAATTGCCAATACCCAGTTTCTAGATGGCAGGGCCATTATTTGGGCCTGGGTCGGTCTCAATCGGTCCAAATTTAAAGTCAGTGTGTAATCTCCGTTCGTGGAATTCTAACGCTTGTGTGACCTTCTTGGATCGGCCTGTTGGAGTGGGCTATTCCTACTTAGACTTGACCTCCATGTTGATTGATAATGGGATTTTTGATGCCCTAATATTATACTCCAGCTATCAGATAATGGCGTGCGGAAAAGGTAGGTATAATTTCCAGCTACACCTTCCATTTCCTTTGAAACTGGTACTGTATCCTGAAAACACTCATCGGCAGGGCCCTCTCCTAGTGCCTTTTTTGAGCTCATGAGCCCAGTCTCAGACCCCTACGCTAAATTATTCTTGAATTTCCAACGCTCATATACTTTGATCGAAGATGACACTATCTCCCATGCTATCCAGGAAGCCAATTCCTGTGTATAGCTCTTCCTACAACTGACTGTTTATGTATACATACATATATCAATTAGAATACAGTTATTAAGGGTGGAAAAGATCAATAAAATACCAAAGAAATCATGACAATGAACAATTATTGAAGGATCACCTGTGGTACATGCAAATGGACATGCATCGGTTGATTCATGCCATCAATTAGGGCGCCGACAGCTAAACTGACAGCAGCGGAGGAAAGATTGACCTTAGTTAGCCACCTCAGCAGCTGGGGCTTCTGCCTTGATTTCCACCGATTCCTTAAATTCCTCAGTGGTTTCCTTAATCTCTTCCCTGGTTTCATTTGGCACCTCAGAAGCCTCAGCCTCGCCCGGACCTTCCTGTTCCGCGCCAAAGGCGTTCGAACCATCACCATAATCCATCACATTTTCGTCCTTGTCATCGTCCTTCAAGGCGTTCTTGAAGTCGCTCAAGTCCCAGGCAGTACCCTGGTCGGCATTCTCTTCCTCCTCGTAGAACTTGTCGGCAAACTTCTTTAAGATAACCTCTTTACCGGTAAGAGCCTTCTTGTTCTTGCTCTTTTCGTTCAAACGCTTTTCTCTGTGCTCCTGCTTCCACTTGACGAAGGACTTCCAGGTGATTGGCGTAAGATTCCCCTTAGGCAACTGGTCACGGGCGGTCTCGATAAAGTCCTCCAATGTGATCTTTGGCTTGCTTTCGTCCGCCATCTTCTCCAAGCGCTTCTGCTCCTTGGTCTTCAACACGAAGCCTGGCGGCAAGGAGTGTCTGTACTTACAGTCGTTCCCGCCACCCGGACAGGTCCAGAACCAACCGTACTTCCCGTTCTCAACCGCTTCGATAAAGAACTTACACACAATATCAGTGGTTACGATTGGGTTCCCGTGCTTCGAGGAAATGACGCTTCTCAACTTCTCCTCATCCCACTTATCCATTGTGTCTTCCTCTTTCTTGTCTCTGTCATCGGTGTACAAATCTCTCTTGGTGGCCTTTCTGCCGATGTCCAAGTCGTGCGAGAACTTACACTTTTTCCCCTTGGTACACAAGCCCTTCCTGTGGAACTCACACAAGATGGTCTTTGGATCCACACCGAACGGCACTTTCTGCTGGGCTGCCGCCGGGTTGAACAACGCAGCGGCTTCCAATCTGGCGGCTTCGGACGCTTTTTTTTCCGCTAATGCCTTCTTGGCTTCTGCAGCAGCCTTGTTGGCCATGGCGCTCGAACCAGCATTCATCTGCGAGATCTGCTCTTGCACCTTCTTCGACTTGTTCTTGTTCTTCAAGCCGAATGTTTTGTCGTCAGCCTGCTTGCTCTTCTTCTGGGCCCTGCTCTTGGCCTCGGCCTGCTTTTGCTTATCCTTTGGTGGCATTTTGAATGGGAAATATCTAGTAAATGGGCGGCAATAACCTTGGTAGGTGATCTCTAATATGCGTGTCAGTTGGGTGAAAAAAAAGTCTTGAGAGAAAAGAAAAAGTGAAAAGTCGTGGACGACGAAATTCTGGTGTCGCCTCAGCCGCAGACTTGGTCACATGATCATTGAAGCTTCCAGGAATATTATCCTGGGGCAGAGGTCATATCTATAAGTCTCAAAGTGGAGCCCATAAGACTATTATGAGAGGATGGAGCTGATAATTTCTGCAGTTTAATATCCATACGCTATTAAGTCCTTAGGGATCAGAATATGATTTCATATTCTCGACGCTCATCGTGTCCCTTTAATAGTTCTGTCCGTCATACTATTATTGAATTTATTTCTTTTCATATACGATGCAGTATATCTGGTATCAATGGTCGTTGAATTAAATAGGCATTTACAGGATACTTTATTATAGCCAAGTAAAGTCAAAGAAAGAGAGGATCGTATTTATATAGGAGAGCTGTTCTCTCGGACCCCGCCAACACCATGTGACCTAATTACGAGGATGGCCACTGTCCAAGTAAAAGGCGAAGCAATTCCCCTGGATCCCGGGCCAATCGCTTCCACTAAGACCAAGGGGTGACTACAGAAGACTAATGAGCCTATATTATCACAGTATAATATCCAAATTAGCAAAGCAGTCCATGAGCTATAAAAGCTCGACGAACTAACATATATCCATCAAGTAAATGGTTAGAGTTGGACGTACACCCCTTCCCCCAACGTATCCTGCACCCGTAACCCCACTCCTCCCCAACTTATTGCTAACACTAACTATTAAACCCCCTTTGTACCTATGCAGCAGTCGCTTCCCATTTTACCCGATATTTATTGAGCCAATTATAGCAAATCCAATAATATTAGCGAATATTAATTACCAATCCCCCTCTCCCGGCAATCGTGGGGCCTCTGTGGCGCTGGACGGTTAGAAGCCCCGCCTATCACCCTCGCCTAAATAAAGCAATACGCCGACTGTCACCACATCACACATACTCCTGTCCCCATACAATGCTCGCCCGAACACAGAGACCAATGTTGAGAAAAGCCGGTCTTTCCGCCAACCTCGTAAAGCAGAGCTTTTCTACAACCTCGCAGGCGCGCTATGCTGTTGCGCGCAAGTTCCTCGCGAAGCGCAACTTCAACCTTGCGGTCGCATCCGGGTTTCTCCTCGTTGCATCCTACTGCACATTCAACCGCAAGGTAACCATTAAGTCGGATTCGGTTCCGTCTGGTTCCCCCGTGGGTGCTCAGTTCTTTTCTACTTCGTCGATGCATGGGAACGGCTTGTCTCAGCAGCAAAACAAACAGGGGCTCTACCTCTTATCAGATGACCAGGTCACCGCTAAGTTGAGACAGTTTGAGGAGAGCTACTTCGTAAACCGTGGAAAGGGCGTGACGCGCTACGATATCTGCCAGTTGCCATCCAACAATCCAATCGAGGATGACCGCTCAGAGAAGATCGTCCAGGTGCCGATTGTGAAGCAAAACAATGTCAAAACCACCACCGACTGGCTCTTTTGGGGTGTTTACGACGGCCATGCCGGTTGGGGTACGTCCGCCAAGTTGCGTGACAACCTCATCGATTACGTCATTTCGGAACTCGGCGTCGCGTACAAGCCGCTCAACGACACCACGATGCGCACGATTCCATCGTCCGAGACGATCGACAAGGCGATCAAGACTGGGTTCTTGAAGTTAGACGATGACATTGTCACTAAGAACGTGGAGAAGCTCTTGTCAAACCCGCTGAAGGCGCAAGCCGCGGAGTTGCTCATGCCTGCGCTTCTGGGCTCGTGTGGGTTGGTATCGTTCTATGACTCCAACTCGCGCAACCTTAAGGTTGCAGTCACGGGTGACTCGCGTGCAATCTTGGGCTCGCTCCGCGATGGTGCGTGGACCGTACAGCAGCTCTCGATCGACCAAACGGGGAAGAATGCATACGAGGCCGCGCGCATCTTGGCCGAGCACCCGAACGAGCAGAACGCGATCCGCAACGGGCGTGTATTGGGCTCCTTAGAGCCGACACGCGCATTCGGTGACGCACGCTATAAGTGGGGTAAGGAGTTGCAGACGGTAATCTCCAACACGTATTTCGGTAGACAGCCGCCGCCCAACTTGAAAACGCCGCCGTACGTGACGGCCGAGCCGGTCATCACCACCACTAAGATCAACCCCGGCAACCGCGACTTCTTGGTGATGGGTACAGACGGGTTGTACGAATTGTTGTCCAACGAAGAAATCGTGGGTTTAGTGGTCAAGTGGATGGAGAAGGAGCAGATGTTCTCCACCAAGAAGACGTTGCGGTCGTACTTCGGTAAGAGCCAGAACAAGTTACCCGAAGTGCGTGACATCACCAAGGACCGTGCATCCAAGGAGGCCTTCAGACGCGGCGCCGATACTGGCTACTTCCTCGAGGACAAGAACGTTGCCACCCATTTGGTTCGCAACGCCTTGAGTAACGGTGGTAACCGCGAGCACTGCAACATGTTGGCCAGCATCCCCAACCCGTTATCCCGCCGCTACCGCGACGACTTGACCGTGACCGTTGTGTTCTTCGGCGAGGATGGCCAGCCCGACGACATGGGAAGATTGGAGGTTAATCCAGTCGCCACCGCCGAAAGCGTCAAGCCAAAGTTGTAGACCTGTTGTGTAGATATTCAATGCAGATTTTCAAGTGTTAAGATTATTAAGTGTCACAATCATCAAGGACTGGGACTGACCCGTGTATGGTAGGTTAATATAGATTATAACAAGTAGGGAGTGGGTTTCATATTTGGAACCTCCAGGGAGGTTCAGCAAATTCCAAGGTAAGCTATACTCGGCTAATCATATATCATCCGCCAATTATAAAATTGATGGAGATTTAATAGGGTGTCAGACACTACAGTCCGTGTATTAGAGTTAGTATCTGGACCCAACTCTTGGTAGTTCAACGTCTTGAATTCATAAATCGTGAAAACTGCAGCATATAGAAGGGAATTAAACTTAAAATGAATTAATTTAATTTCAGTAGATAGTTTACTAAGACCTTATTCTATATCTCAGTTTTATAATAACCTTGGTTGGGACATCAAGCTACTTAGCTCCTAGAGCTGGGGATGGTGTGACGCATATCTCATATTTAGCACAACATTGAAAGAGTTTTAACCAATGTTCCAGGACAAAACCCACATTGATTATTGACCATTTTCATCTACATTGCATATATATATATATATATATATGAGTATATTATAGTATTAATCCTCACCATCTATTAAACTATTTTTTTTTTTAAAAAAAAAAAGACTTTTCTCGATTTACAATCAACGGCAGATGGACCCCTTTTATGTCAGGTCAAATCAGACACGTCGTTTCGAGCCGCGTGCGCATAGGTGAAAAAATAACCGAGCCTGATCTACGCCTATTTGTATTTGAGAGCTTTCACTCGTCATATGTTCAAACGCCTTTTACATATCAGTCCTCGGGCTCTTTTACAAACCCGAGGGACCTCCACAGATCCCAAACTCTCATCGGTGTTCCGTGATATCAAATCGTATTTGCGATACGCCAAGGCAAAGGGCCTGAGCCCCCTCTCCACAGTGTTCCGCGGTACGCTCTATGAGATGTCTGCCATGGAGGTTCTCCGACGCGACCTAAAGATCCAAAATCTCAGCCACGTGGGTGGTGCTTTCGACAACGGGCTCGACCTCATAGGCTCGTGGAGTCTCTCCGGGCGCGTCGCGCCGGAGTACGTTGATCTGGACGTCAAGCCGGCTACGCGTACCGTCTTGGGCACACGCGTCACGCCCTTGCTTACGCGTAACTTGCTCCAGGACGTACGGGTCATTGTACAGTGCAAGGCGTATACACAGAAAATTACTGCTGCAACTGTGCGCGAGCTTGCAGGCACATACCAGTTTGTTGTGCACCGGGTAGAGAAAAACCGCACCCTCTTTTTGCTCGTGGCACCGGTAGGGATGACGCCTCAGGGCATGGCTCAGACAAATCGCTCTAACTTTCCAATTATATACGTACGTATCGAAGAGAGTGTACCAGTGAGCACGCGGTTGAATAAGGGAGACGAGTACGATCCAAGGAACTATCCGTTGGGCAAAATGATTGCGTTTTACTGCAATCCGTATGCAAGGACATTGCTCGAAGGTCTGACGGTTGTAGCGGATTCAAAGAAGATTGTCGTGGCTAGTGAGAATTCGGAGGTGTGATTTGGAGAAGATGTTGCCGAAGTCAGCTGATAAATCGCCGTTCTCCATTCAGCTTTGACTCCAATTGAAGTTAGTGCAAACCAGCCTTGAAGCAAGCTATTAGGCATTGTTCTGATATACTGAGCCAGATATACTGGTAAGTGTCGGGGACAATTTCTGGATGTTCCGCCCATATCCTTCTTCTCGCGAGACCTTTGCGAGACGCCCACGCCCTACCGTCTTGTCCAAAATTAGAGGGATACACCCAATTTTGGTATGGAATTCATACGAGAGCTAGGTTTCGTTGATAATTGTTTCTGCTATGACGAGCTCTTCCTGGATTGGCTTTGGCGCATTCTAGGGCGATGCTACTTGAAGTCTTTACGTTTTCTCTTTGATGTAACGTGTATTTGAACATGAAAGTCATGTTGAAGAAGAAAAAATGCCTGAAAACAATAAATAGAGGTAAATAAATAATTAAGGGGATAAAAAAAGAGGTACAAATGATATATGTGATGGACGAAACAACATCGCACTCGCACCAGGGTGAGTGTTGTTCATGAAGTGGAGGGAAAGGGCGTGGGAGATTAGTCAAGACCAGCGTGCAAGGCAGCGTCGTCGGTGAGCTCGGCAAAGACCTTGTCGTTCTTGACGCCGAAAGTGGAGATACACTTGGCCATGGTTGGGGAAGCTCTAGAGATGACGTCGGTGAAGTAGTAGTTCTCAATTGGACTCTTCAATGGAACACCAACCTTGGCACCGGAGTTGGCAGACAACTGGGCCAAACCCAACTTGGCAACGTCCTGAGACACCGTTTCGATGACCTCATGTCTGGACAAATGTGGGGCAATCTCGGCCAATCTCTCTCTGACCTCGTACAAGTCTTCGTATGGCAACTTGGCGTTCATGTACTCGGACAAGGCTCTGATGATCTTCCAATCCTCTCTAGCGACACCTGGGGCATTGGTGGCGGCTCTGGTGACCTGGGTTCTCCCTTCGGTGTTCACGTAAGTGGCACTCTTTTCGGTATAAGCGGAGCCCGGCAAGATAACATCGGCGAAAGAGGCACCCAAGTCACCGTGGTGACCCTGATAGACCACAAAGGCGTCTTTTGGAACATCCTGGTTCTTGATCTCGTCGGCACCGAGCAAGTAGACGAACTTTGGCTTGGTTTCGGCCACCTCCTTGGAGATGGTGGCGAAACCAACATCTAAAGCACCAGTTCTGGCGGCTTCGCGGTGCAACAAGTTCAACCCATTCCATTCCTCGGTGAGGAAGTTGGCATTGGCCGAGGCATACTTGGAGACCACTTGGTAGATGGAGGAGGCGTCTTCAGACTCTCTGACGGCGGAACCCAAAATTATCAACGGCTTCTTGGCCTGTGCCAACTTCTTGCCGAAGTTGCCGGCAAGGGCCTTCTCCAACGCGTTGACATCCTGGCCTAGATGCTCGAGCTCGAAGGTGGAGTCGAATTTCTGACCGATGTGGGCAACTTCCAAGTTGGATCTCAACCAGACCTTTCTAATTCTGGCATTCAACAAGGCGGCTTCATGTCTTGGATTGGTACCTACCAACAAGATGGCGTCCGCGTCCTCAATCCCCTCGATGGAGGAGTTGAAGATGTAGTTTGCTCTGACATCCATCCCGTGGACAGCTTCACCGTTGGCGACGTCGGTGGTGACGTTTTCGGAGCCCAATTTGTTGACCAAGTCCTTTAAAACAACCATGGACTCAACGTCAGTCAAGGCACCGGCAATAGCCTTGATTTCGTTGCCCTGTGGCTTAATCTTGTTGTAGGCAGACGCAATGGTGGACAAGGCTTGATCCCAGGTGGCGACCTCGAACTTGTCACCGTTTCTGATCATTGGGGTGGTTAATCTCTGCTGCTTCAACCCATCAACGGCGAATCTAGACTTGTCAGATAACCATTCCTCGTTAATCTCGTCGTTTAATCTTGGCAAGGCTCTCATGACTTCGATCCCTCTGGTGTCGATTCTAATGTTGGAGCCAAGGGCATCCAAGACATCAATAGTCTCGGTTCTCTTCAACTCCCAAGGTCTGGCCTTAAAGGCGTATGGCTTAGAGGTTAATGCACCGACAGGACACAAGTCAATTATGTTACCGGACAACTCGGAGTTCAAATTTCTCTCAATGTAGGTACCGATTTGCATGTCGTTACCACGGCCCGAGGTACCAAACTCCGGCGCACCAGCGACATCATTCATGAATCTGACACATCTGGTGCAATGGATACATCTGTTCATAGAGGTCTTGACCAATGGACCAATGGCCTTGTTCTCAACCGCTCTCTTACCCTCTAACTCCTTAAATCTACCACGGTCGCTACCGTATCTCAAGGTCTGCTCCTGTAAGTCACACTCACCACCCTGGTCACAGATCGGACAGTCGAGGGGATGGTTCTCCAACAACATTTCGGTAACACTCTCTCTGGCGTGCTTGACTTTCTCGGAGTTGGTGTGCACCACCATCCCGTTTTGAACCGGCATGGCACAAGAGGCAGCCAACTTTGGCACTCTCTCAACCTCAACAAGACACATACGGCAGTTACCGGCAACGGCTAACTTTTCGTGGTAGCAGTATCTCGGAACGGTGACACCGGCCTTGTCACAGGCCTGAATGATGGAAGAACCGGCTTCGATATCCACCTTGACACCGTCAACGGTGACAGTTACATCGGCTCTGCTGACGGTTGTGGAGGAAAAGGCACGGACTTGCGTAAAACCTCTCTTGGAAGCCTTCAAAATAGAGGATCTGACGGATAACATGGTGGGTGAGTTACTCCAGAAATGGCAATGAGGTTACTTGGACAAATATAGGCGCATATAAGTACTTGTATTTTTTTACTGTATCACGAATTCCGTACAGTCTTACTGTAAGCAAATTATCGGGCTCTGATTCGTTCGGCATAGAGGGGTTACCCGGTTGCACGTGACTGACATGGTCGACGTGGGGGAAATTGTACGGGGAAAGAATACTGGCCAAAGGGGAGATGAATAAAAAGGGATTGGTTATTAGTTGGTTTGTTTTCTAGACTCTAAGGTGTATTTTTTATGTAGTCTTTGGTTTGCTTTTGAGCGAAAGTTTGGGTCATAATGTAGCGGACATGTATTGGAGAGGCTTTGCCTAAGATTTATAGCTGTACGGCGTTAGTTAAACCAAAAATGGCACAGGTAAATGGTTATCGTCCGATTACTTCGGTTCAGGTATTCAACTTAGAGGGACCATTTGAATACATAATCTTGGTTGATGGTTTACGGGGTGTTTCTCCGTCTATATCACCAGACGTAGCTGTGGTGCAACTTCTCCCTATGTTTATCTTGCTTAACCACTTGAAAGTGCCAGTATAAGGACATATGGCATTCTCTGCTTAGGCTATATCCTTATGTATACGTATCGGTATGTACTCAATATTAGCATTCCACTAGGTTAATACATTTCTGATATATAGTGTTATATTTCCTGGCCAATATAAGTAATATAATTAATGATACAATGGTTTTATTCTACAGGTACAAATAATTTTAGTAATATAAGTGAATAAACGATAATATAAATTTATTGTAAATCCAGTTTATTTATAATTATAAACATTTAGTACAAATATGCTCAGATGAATAATTCTTCATTTGCGTTAAAGGCGTCGGACCACACGATATAACATACACCATATACATATTTATCATTCCTCTTCAACCTAAACGCATTCATATCATAATACAGCATTTATCCATACACTACACCTTCACCTTTTTTTCTGCGCCCCCTGCACCATCCTCAATTATTCGCTTTGACTCCAACGGGGTGACGGGTCTTGTAAGATCTATATCGCTCCCCGGATCGATGCTGCTATCCTTGGTAACGCCCACCGCCAAGGCGCGTTTGCGGTTCTTCAAGGCGTTCGGGCCCTCGAACTCCCTAGTAACGGCCAACAACAATGTGTTGGCTCTTCTGCCCAACTCCTGGGCAGACCGGGAGGCAAAGTACCAATTGAAGCGGAACAAGTCGCTCTTGACAATCTCCTCACGCACCATCTCGTACAAGTTCTCGGTGAGCAAGCCATGCTTGTGGACCATACACAAGAGGAAGCGGTCCTCTTGGAGCGAGTACACGCGTTTGGAGTTGTTTGGCGGGTACTGAATGGCCATTGCCTCCAACGGGTGCGCGCAACTCTCAATCTTTTGTTTCAAGAACTTGTTCTGAGTGCGAAGCTTAAGCGCCTTGTGCTCCCCGGCTTCGATCTGCGCGACGTATTTCTCGTGGCCCTCGATGGCCTGGTACTTCTCCCAGAACACCTTGGCATAGCGCTCCACCTCTTCGGGGGTTTTGCTCCGCAATGACTGCGAAATCAAATCGTATGAGTCTCTTCCGTACCGTGCACTTGCGTGGATGAAGTCAGTAAAATCGCGCTTTGACCACTCGGTAAACCCCTGACTGATGTACTCCTCCTTCAACTTGACCTCTTCCTCGGTCAACTCCACCGCATCTTTGATTTTCTGCTGCTCGCGTGCGCGCTTCGTTTCCCGCGACACCTTCGGCACAAACTCGTCCTCGAGATACTCCTCGTCACTATCGCCAAACTCGCCTAGCTGGACCTTGTGCCCGACCTTTTTCTTGAACGCATACATTTCGCGGTCCAATAACCCCTGCAACTGCGGTGGGAAGAACTGGTGGGTCTGAATCACGATTTGTTTTGGCGCACGCGGATTTCTCCCGGACGCTACTTTGGTCGTCATCATGTCCTTGTAGTAGTTATCGACCGAGTACGTCTGCTCCTTGCGTTCTCTCTTTGACGGATTGATCCACGCGGGGAGCAGACTCTTCTTGGTGGCAAAGTTCTGGCCGTTCCATTCGTACGCGGACGATGACTCGGTGAAGTTTTGCAAGTCATCCAAGCCTAATTTCGAGTACTTTGCGTTGAGCGTTGCGGTCTTTTGCTCCCCCGCGCGCAAGATCTCGTCAATGTCTTGATCAAGCGACTTCTCGCCCCCTGCCCTGTTGTCGAAGAGAGAATGCGCACCGTGTTGGATCATGCTCAACAAGTCGTCTTTAGAATTCCCCACGGTCGTCTGGGCGCCGCTGTTGCGGCCCTGTTGGATGACCAACTGGTCCAACCGCAACTTCTGTGCCGCACGCTCCAACACCTTCTCTTCGATCGCATTTTCCGTCACAAAGCGGTATACATACACCTGTTTCTTCTGGCCAATTCTGTGGGCCCTATCCATCGCCTGCAAATCTGCCTGCGGGTTCCAGTCAGAGTCGTACAATACCACCACATCCGCTGAAGTCAAGTTAATCCCCAAACCACCGGCTCTGGTGGTGAGCAAAAACACAAACTTCTCGCTGTCTGGCTTGTTGTACTCATCAATCGCCTCTATACGGTCTTCGTGCGACGTGGACCCGTCGATTCGGCTGTACTCGAACCCGCGGAACATGCAGTAATCTTCCAAGACATCGAGTAACCGCGACATCTGCGAAAAAATCAACACCCGCGAGCCCTGCTTTTGCATTCGCTTCAACAACTTGTCCAAGATCACCATCTTGCCCGAATTATACACAAGGTGCTCGTCCGTCGTATATGGCGGGCCCGGCTCCGCGCCCTCAAAGAGGTAGGGGTGGTTACAGCACTTGCGCAATTGCATTACAATGTTCAAGAGCCGGGTCTTGCCCTCGCGCTTGCCCACAACACCGTTCACCGCATCGATGTCCTTCTCAAGAAGCTTGCGGTACCACCGGATCTGCATCTCGCTCATGCCCACGTACAAGTTGACCTCTTTCTTTGGCAAGAGCGAATGCTCTACGTCTGCCTTGATTCTTCTGAGCAAAAATGGCGAGAGAACGTTGTGTAACTGCTGGATGACCTTGTCCTGGCGTTCTTCATTCTCGTCGTCTGTATTTCCTTCTTCAAGCTCGTCTTCTCTCTTCTCTGCCCTCTGCTGGTCAAACCACCGGTCGAACACATCGCTGTCGCCGAAAATATCGGGGAGGATGAAATTGAGCAACGCCCACAATTCGTGAAGATTGTTCTGGAGCGGCGTCCCGGTAATGAGCAAGCGGTTCTGCGAGTAGAACAAGCGGATAATCTGCGACAAGGCACTCTCCTCGTTCTTGATCCGGTGTGCTTCATCCACAATGATGTACTGCCACCGGAACTTCTTCAACGCCGCTTTTTCCCTAATAACCATTTCAAACGAGGTAATAACCACATCAAACTTGCACTTCATCAACTGCTGCAGGATGATGCGTGTGCGCTCGTCTTTTGCGCCTTGTAATACCGTCACGCGCACGTCCGGCGTCCACTTTGCGAACTCGCGGCGCCAGTTGTCCAATGTGGACTTCGGCACAATCACAATGTGCGGGCCGTTGATGTCTTTCACGTAGCGGAGGTATCCCAAGAATGCGATCGTCTGCAATGTCTTCCCGAGCCCCATTTCATCCGCGAGGATCCCGGAAAGTGCGTTCTCGTGCAACGCTACCAACCAGTTCAAGCCCTGGATTTGGTACTCGCGCATAGTCCCAGACTTGACAAACGCCGGAGACTCCGTCAAAAGCGTGTGGGTTTTATCATAATCCCCCTGGGTGGTCTCGTCATAGATCAACTCTTCGTCCTCCTCTTGCTCTGTCTTGCGGCGTCGCGCCCCTGCGCCCTTCATACCCTTCTTTTCCGCGTCGAGCTGTTTGATCATCTTCTTCAACTTCGGGTTTTTGGCCAGATTCAAGTCGACAAACTGGCGGAACAAGTCCGTGAGTCCCAACAAGTGTTTGAGTCGGCGGCGCTGCGACTCTGTGTCTTTTGCGCGCACGACCTTGACGTCTTCTTGTAAGAGATAGCGTGCTTTGCGGTCCTCAAAGGTCTCGCCATCGTAAATGTCGTCATCATCGATGGATTCCGATTCATCTTCCACCTCAACTTCTTCGATGGATGACATCTCGGAGTCTGACGCAATTAGTTGCACGTCCTTCGTGTTTTTGGCCTGACTGGTTAGTACTGCGGCGGATCAGTGGCGGGCCGTGGATACATACCATTATATGTAATCAGTTGATAAAATCTCGCCGAATCCAGGAAAAAATGGGTAAAAAGAAGGGATGGTAGTGATGGTTGGGATTTTTGGTACGTTAGGCGGTTTGTGTTAAAAATAACAACTAGCGAAAAAGAAGACGGCATTCCAAGGATGTGTTTGAATTTTTAGCAGTGTATACAGACGCGTCATGTTAGCGCCTGCATGGAGAGAAAATTTCATGTCCGGCATGGAAGGAAAAAGAAACGGGAACGAAGGATTCCCCGAGATTGGAGGGCGATTTTAATCTTTAGTTACTGTGATATATTGGCTGTTACCGTGAATTATGAGAAATTAAGTCAGTTGAACCTCAATTAGGTTGCATTGACAATGCTCAAGTACGATGCTAGCAGGATTGATCCAGAACGCGGTCCCCGGAATCCACATCGGGCAGACACGAGACTCTGCTGGGGTAAATGCAGGATGATTATAGGCGGAACATTGGAGGTTGCTTAGTATTTCGGATGATATTCTTTGGATCCTGTGGCATGGACTATCAAACTTATCATTCCTAACTTCACAGAGTATCCCGAGGATATAATACTATGCCTACCGATGAAGCGCTTGCCTTCCACCAGGCGGTGTACACCACCGCACAGCAGATCCCCTTCGGAAAAGTGACGAGCTACGGCCACATTGCCAAACTTATTGACAAACCGTTGAATCCCCGCCAGGTGGGACAGCTGTTGAAGTATCTTCAGGAGTATTCGGAGGATAGTACGCAGGATGTATCTGAGTTTACTCAGCGGTTCAACCATCTCACGGTGCCGTGGTGGCGTGTGATTTCTTCGCAGGGTAAGATTTCCAGCCGAGGACCGACTCCACGAAGAAACACCAACCAGGATGTCCTGGGGGAAGAGCGTCAGGCAAGAAAGTTGAGGCTGGAAGGGGTGGAAGTGAGCGAAAGCAGTTACCAAGTAGATTTAGGTGAGTATGGCTGGTTCCCTCCCACCGAGTACGATGAATAAAAGGAGACGATTGTAGTCAGAGATACTTTCATAAAGAGGAGAAAGGTGCTTTGAAGTGGAGAAGGCACCATCCACAGGCTGGCGAGTCTTGCTCTAGACTTGATAACATGCACCGGTCCGGTGAAGGCTATTGGATGTTCTCAGTGACTACACGTTTATATAGACAATGGATATAAATATTTTACAAATTGCCAAGTCGATGATATCACCGTAAGTTGTTTCTGGTCGGCGAATTCATACTGTGACTTTCACTCCCAGCCAATGCCACCTGCTATTTTCAATACTCGCGCATCTACGTCTCAGGGGCCAACCGATGAGCGATGTGACGGTCTAAGCGTTATATTATCCATATAATTCATCTTCGTAGTGTCTTTGTATTGGTCCACACCTCTATTGTTCGTCTTTATAACTATTCTTTCCAGCCATCCCGCAGTCTAGCGTATGACTGATCCCTAACTACAAAATAGGGCTATTCTTGAAAGCAAGTGCCCCGACTTCTGGCATACCTGGACCAGGGAGTCTTTAGTATTTTCTACTGATGTGCCCTAATAAGACTGTACCACTATTTTCTTTGTTTATTGTTATGCAATCTTCCCCCGTGTATCCTTTTCCTTCCACCCAGCCAAGGTCGATAATCGTGTGGCTTGCTGTAGTCTGTGGCTGAAGGACGTGCATCAGGCCGATCTTGTACCAGTGACCTGCACGTTAATCAATGCTATTCACAATTAGCATTTAAGGAAATTAACTTGGGACCTTCTTTAGGGACAAGACCGCATTAAAACACTTACTATCTCTATTTCCATATATAACCAGTTACATTGAGATACTAACCAACTCAATGAGTTCAGAACAATCCCCACTTTCCGCTCTACAGACACACCACTTGGAGGAGGTACCGCAAGTCACCCATACAGCGGGCGAAACAAAGACCGTTTTTGATATAGCGAGCGAGTTGGAGAAACAGTTGAATGACTTGGTATGTCACAATTGTCTTCCATTAGGAAAACGTACTAACCAATTATAGTTGGTACGGGTCGAAGAATCAGACCTAGAGATAAAGGGCAAGCGTACGTATACTGTTTCTTGGAGTTGGGCCATATACTAACTGGACTTAGTTGATTCGATTCAGCATAGATTAAATGCCCTCGAATCCAAATTCAAACTGACGTAGGAGACCCCTCAGCATTTTCCACAACCTTCACCACTCCCAACCAAATACGTCTTCCCCTATGCAGCAACAGACGGAATCACAAAATTTGCTCCACCACAGCTCCACCCTTACGCAAATTTAACGGTTAGCATCTGACCGTTCTACTAAGCTACTTACTATTACCACTTGTACTATTAATTAACCAATACAATCGAATTTACCCGTATAATTATCTTGTAGTCTCCACCGAAAATGTAACTGTCCAGCTCACCAACCCGTACACATCCTGCATTCAACTATACGGTAGATTTTCGCTAGATGAGGATTAAGAGGCTAACGGTTGTGCACTGCCAATTTTCTTTTACATTTGTCAATCATCGTCTCTGATAAGTCCATCCTCCACCACAGATCCAAGTAAACTGCTGTCATAGCCATCCATAAACCAACTGAACAGACATGGCCTCAGCTAAAAAATCCAAGAATCAGCTCAGACGTGAAAGAGCAAAGCAGAAGAAGACAGAAGCGCCAAAGCAAGCCACACCAGAGCCACAACCTGATACGGCAGCTGGAGAAGCTGACGCAGCGGACTTTCTTGAATCCTCGCTTAAGCACGAAATTGACAGCTATATTAAAACCCACCCCAATGTGGAGTACATAGAGGACGCGCGTGTCAGGAAGGTCTTGGATAACGACCCTAATTTCCAGGAATTTAAACTGATTTTCGAAAAATTTCGTTCTCCCCTAGAAGAACCGGAGGTTGAAGAAGAAGTACGGTCAGCAGTTAACGGGGTTTCGGAAATCATCTACTCTTCGGACGAAGAAGCAGAGGTCACAAAGACGGAGACGTCGAAGCGCCAGAAGCGCCTCCGAAACAAGATGTCGCTTGCTGAATTGAAGGCCCACGCAAAATACCCCAACCAGGTGGAGTGGTATGATGTGGATGCCCCAGATCCAGAGCTCCTCGTGAGCTTGAAGACACAAAAGAACGTGGTTCCGGTGCCACTGCACTGGCAGCTCAGAAAGGACTATCTCTCATCCAAGAAGGGAGTCGAAAAGCCGCCCTTTAGGCTCCCGTCTTTTATCCTCGATACCGGAATCGCAGATATGCGCAACACGGGAGCGGAGGATACGGCCGCAACATTGAAGCAGAAGACAAGGGAACGGGTCCAGCCCAAGATGGGTAAACTAGACATCGACTACAACAAGCTATACAATGCGTTCTTCAAGTTCCAGCAGAAACCGCCGTTGTCTCTGTTTGGGGAAGTGTTTTTCGAAGGGAAGAACCATGAGACGAGCGACTTGGCGCAGTACAGACCAGGTCATTATTCCTCCGAGTTGCGAGCGGCCTTGGGAATGTCATCACAGCTGAATGCCTTACCCCCATGGATCATGACCATGGTGGCCATGGGTACTCCTCCGGCTTATCCCTATATGCGGCTCCCAGTTGTCCAGCCGAACGGGGACCTTGTGTATGCGGAAGAGCCTGGGATCAAGACCATGATGAACGATGTGACTAATGTTGAAAAACAGCCGTGGGGTGTTGTCCAGGTGGATATCGAACCGGAAGTCGTGCCTGAAATCGTAAGCGAAGAGTTGAAGGCTGAAGAAGAGGCCAGCCCTGTCAGGGTGGATACTGGTATCCCCATCACCGAGTTTGGCGGTCTCGCGAAGAAGCGGTCAGTGGAGGAGGCCTTTGACGAGGAGACAGCCAACGAGCCTCCGAGAAAATTGTACCAGGTATTGGAGCAGCAGAACACAGCTACTAAGAACGGGCTATCCGATGCCCGTTATGTCTTACCAGGGTCGGAGGAGAAACCAAAAAAGAGTGTGAAATCTGCCCCAATGCCAGAAGTGAAGAAGGATAAGTTCAGGTTTTAGATCAGCTTTAATGATTGAGGGCGGAGAGAAGAAGCTGTAGGGTTGAGGCATAGGACAGTACTGAAGTTTATAAGCTGTAGCACGGGGGATTACCAATATTTTGGTAGTGGTTACAGAGGTATGTTCTCGTGCGGGTAGGGTAATTGTCTAAGGGACTGGGAGGAGTATAGAAAAGTATTCAATTTCAGCTTTGGAATGTTTTGTGTATAGCGGGATTTTTTACCTAATTCTTTTTTTACTGTATTCGACAATTATACGTTACATGGAGATGAAATTATCACTTTCAACTGCATGTTTGAAGTCTCTAGTATTAAGTTTCGATCAATCTCTAATCTACGAATTTACGTAAGCGTGACACAATATCGCTGTATATAGAACTATAAATGTCCGATAATACCTGAGTTTCATAAGATTAGATGGATAATCGCAAATTACTGAATTCAAACGTGAGAGTATTTGGCATGCCCTAGAGACTTTTCGCCTGGTACCTCCAGACTTGTCCTTTATGCAGGACTACTCATCACATCGCAGAAACAATTTTTTTTTCATGCCTGAAACTCTCTGAACTGTCCAACTCTTCTGAAACGCTTCTCTTCAGAAACATTCATCCGAGGGGTCCCTTCCATTTAATACGGCCACTTATTCAATAGACCCCGTAATGATACCCAAAACTGATCCGGATGCTAATTCTCGCCCGCGGAAGAAGGCGCGTGTGGAGGATATGCCCGTGGTGAAATCATCCAAGACTCTTAAGAGAAAGGCAGAACCCAGGACCCCAGACGCGGCCGAAAATACGGAAATGGGTCTCACTCGGATCTTGAAGATTGAACATACGGTGCGGAAATTGCAGGATACATTAAAAAACTTGATCAGCGAGGCGCCCACTGCGACGGAGCTCGCACGATACGTGCAAGGCCACGGTGGTGAGGACGAGGTGCTCATCACGCTTGCGCGCAATAACACCGTGAAATTAGCGGCGAGCTTAAAGACTATGCATGACGAGGGGAAATTGAACTTGTTTGACCGTATCATCACGTTTGATGATGCTAGCCAGGTCCGCGCGGTGGAAGGTGAGGCGGTACCGGAGTTGCACGCTGAGCTGGCTGCATGTGTGCCGACTCTCGCCGCCGTAATGGAATTTGACAGTGTATCGGGACTCCCACCTATCCCACCGATCCACGACCAGCATTTGCGCGCGCGCGTCTTTATGCACAAGTCGGTGGTGAGCGCGCGCGGATACCTTTCGAAAGAGGAGATGCTCGCGACGCACAACGAACGATTGGAGTTCCTTGGCGATTCCGTCATGAACAACGTCATTACCATTCTCATCTACGAGCGCTTTCCGTACATGAATGAGGGTGACATGTCTAAGCTCAGAACACTGCTTATCTGTAATGAAACGTTAACTAAGTGGGCGCTCGACTATGGGCTCGACAAGGAGTTGAAGATCAACATTCCCGATGCGACGCTCCGGTCCGGGAAAATGAAGATCTTTGCAGATATTTTCGAGGCATACATCGGTGCGCTCGCGCTCCAAGAAAACTATGATACCACTGTCATCAAGCGCTGGCTCTCACAATTGGCCGACGACGCGCTTGCACAGAAGCAGGACACTATCCAGAGCGTCGAAAAAGTCGACACCAGCTCTAAGGGGGAGTTGTATGCCTTGATTGGGTCGGCCAAGAACCCCCCAGAGTACATTGCCACGACCACTGGTGATGGCTACCGAACGCCGTTTGTGGTGGAGTGCCGCGTACAAGGCGACTTGTTGGGTAGAGGTGAAGGAAACAATATGAAGGATGCGGGCTTCCGCGCAGCGCTGAGTGCGTTGCGCAACAAGCCAATGATCGAGAAGTGGAGTTTGATTCGGCGCCAGACGCCACGCGCGGAGACAGGCATTTCCGACGAGCGTATAGCCAAGACCTTGCCACGACCGGTCAATGTTCTGGGAGCGAGTGGTTTTCCGGGGGTGGTCTCTTCCCCGGCTGGGAATAAGAGTCTGTTGTTGCCTCCGCGGAAGACGGCCTCATTGTTGCCTCCACGGAAGATTGCGGTTGCACCCGTCGCCTCCATCCTGGCTACAAAACCCCCAGGTACTACCAAGATGACAGCTCCATCCTCGACTGAAACTCAAGCCCCAGTCACACAGACATCAAGGGAGACTTCCACTGGGTTTGACTCTAGTGTCGACACGAAGCTTCCCATCGTTACGTCCTCGGATGAAAAAGTACCGTGCATCTACCGCGAACGTCTCTATGCGCTCTTGGGCAAGAATAGGATCGGTTCGAACTACGAAATTGTCGCTATCAACGAGGGGTTTAAGGCTGACTTGTATGTTAAGGGGATGTTGGTTGCTTCGTCGCTCGACATCAGTAAGAAGAAAGCTGGCCACAGGGCTGCCAAGGCGTTTTTAGACGCCTTAAAGAGCGATGCAAAGCTCGCCGCCAGTGTGGGGATCGTCGAGAAGTGAGGTGTAATGAATTAGGCATTTTTATTAGACTAGGAAAGTAGTTTTCTACGTAGCGCAACGAGATTGTGTGGCTGAAGCAGTCGTAAAGATAAGCTTCCGAAACTCGCCGTTTGTCGACGAAATGCGCTTAATGACCAAACACATGCCAATTTAATGGTATATGTCATAGAAATGTTGGAGATTATTTTTCCAGTATCAAAAGCATGGCCCAATAGAAATATATCCCAAGAAAGCGAAAACATGAAGAGAATAGTTAATAGTGCACATGCTTAGAAAAGTAGTTTGTTAGATTATACTTGGCACCTCTTAACGGTTCTGGGGGCTCGCCACTATGTACACCTTAGCTGCACACTTAACGTGCGTGAGTGGCATGCTTTTCTTTGCCCTCATTCACAGTATACACAAAAATCGATTAATACTCTGAGGTATACCTATAACAGAGATACACCATACGGTTAAATGAAACCGAAATATATATTAAATCAAAAAGGACTAGCCAAACCTATGCGCCTGAGATACTTGCTTCAGATGAAGCCAGTGCTCGTAACCAAAACATGCAGCTATTTAGAGTATCAGCCCATTCGGAGGCAAGCGCCGCCTTCTACTTTTGACCACCTCCTACCATACAATGTCTGCTGATCCACAGTTGCGGCCGTACTACGACGCCGATTCGTTCAATGCGGGATACTCGGTGATTTACAAGCCTGGTTTTGGTGTTATCGATACCGATGCCAATCGATCCATCTCGTCTACGCTTTCCACAACCGCCAAAGGTGGCACCGTTTCCGAGTTCGTGCTGAAGGCTGTCCATAATGCTAACTCTTCGCGCTTAGCTACATCCCAGGTGGGTATTGGCCTCAAGAAGCATGCGCATCTTGGGACCAAGAACGTGTACTCGGACTTGGAGTTCCTGGAGTACTTTGAGATCCAGAACATCAACGACCTCGCGCGCAAGCTCTTGAACAGTTTTGCCAAGAACTACATGCGCGTGTTGACATCGCAGCCGTTTGAAATCTGCCGGTTACTTCTTCAGCTCGGGGCTTTTGACCACAAGAAGTCGGTGACGTCGCTCTACGTATCACAAACAGCGACTGATGACGAGAACTCAGACGATGAGGAAATCAACTACTTTTTGGCACCAGGCGACGAAACTCCCACGAGACTGCGCGCAAGAAGACCTTCACGGGTAGAAAGGCGTGAAGTTTCTATGACTCCCACGCCAATGACCCCTACAGGTGCCTCCACTACCACACCTGGCTCCCCACTAGTCCCTACCAACCTCAACCACATCAACCCGCTTACCCACACAACTGTGGACATTATTTCCTCGCTCTTCGCAAAGGAAGGTATGAAGGGCTTGTGGCGCGGAGTCAATGCGTCGTTCATCTACACAACCCTTTCATCGACCATCGAGGCGTGGATCACCGGAGTGTGTTCGCCGTTCCTCCAGATCCCCGACCCGTACTTTTTGCAGATCACTGACTCGCCCGACCCGATGAAGTCCTTGCTTTTGAGCGTGGTAGCCGCGGTCTTGACTGGCCTCATTCTCGCGCCATTGGACTTGATTCGCACCCGGCTTATCATTACATCCACCCAGACCAGGATGCGCAGCATCCGTGAGATGATCAGTGGTTTGAAGCACTACTACGTGCCGCTTCCGTTGATGGTGCCGACTGCGTTGTTGTCTGTCGTGGGCACGGTGTTCCGTAAGGCCACACCGTTTGTGTTGTTCACTAAATGCAACATCGACGCGTACTCCTCGCCCGTGGCGTTCTCCACCATGAATTTGTTTGCCAGCATCTCCGAGTTGGTCATCAAGTTGCCTCTTGAGACCGTTTTGCGTAACCTCCAAGCAAGCTACTTGCTTGGGTCAGAGAACTTCCACCCATCCCTCGCCACTGACTCCGAGGATTTGGTCGTTAACTACAAGCCGAGACCGTTTTGGGAGATCGGGGTCAGGAACTTCTTCAATGGTTGGAGGGTCGGCGTGTTGAATGTTGTCGGGACCTGGGGGTTGGACATCTTGCGCAGCACCAATGACCAACGCGAGGAGAAGCTATAGCAGCTTCTCATGACTTATGATTTTAAGTTTTAGTATTTAATACGATCTTATATACCATTCTGCGAGTATTTGTTTTTCGAATGTCTTTTAGCATTGATAGTCTTGTGGTTGCTTTTCTTGCCAGTATTAAATTGATTTTTCCATACTCGTAGAAGAGTACAGTATCGATTATGTTTCTTTATTTTTTTTTAATGACAATTGAATGCTCACTATCGTTTTATGTTTATACGATATCGTATACCCGCAACCAGGTTCCTTTTTACTTTGTAGTGGAATACACGCAAGTATCGTGTGGTTAGAACCTGACGATACCGGTAACGGGAAAATAGGAATCGGTGAATGCTACTCTACTGTCTCTATAAACTGAGAGGATCTTAACCTAAGACTTAGATACCCTTAAATCGAAAATCTTCATGTCTAGGCCTGGTGGGTATGGACGACAACATATAAAATTACGGGCCCTCTCCTGATTAGAATGCGTTTTGAGAATAAAACAATCATACACGAGCCAATAGCTGTCTGCTATAAAATATAAACATATATTGATCTGATTTGGGCGTATTTTTGAGTACCTATTTCTTCTGAACCCAATACCTTTGCTTTCCAGCTATTGTCACTAATGGTTATCCCAAATAGCTCCATGTATAATACTGAGAATAATTTTCATACTTTGAGTCGCTGGCTACTCTGTCTTGGCTTTCAATTCCTCATGCTTCTGGAGGAGAAACTCGCCGAGAAACTTCAACGGCTCCTCGGGCTGCTCCTCACCACACCTCCGCATGCCCTCCAAGAGATGCGGCGTCAAGTTTGCGTTCAACCACTTGCGCACAGACGAGCCGCCCACCACTTCTACCGTACTGAGGTCGCTTGGGAGCTTGATCTTTTTGCGGGGCTGGCTCGAGCTCGACGTGTCCACACTGGAGGTGGTCAATTGTTGTGGAATCGGCGTGGCCGTGCGAGACTGTTCGAGCTTCGGCGGCAAAGTGCTCACCGGTTCGGCCGGAGTCACTTCCTTGATCTTCACGTCGGCTTCAGGGGACCAACTGACACCCTCAGGTTCGATAGAGGCCAAAGTGGGCGTTTTTTCCGGCGTAGTACTCATTGTGGTGTGGTAAAGACAGATATGGCCTTATGTGTGTTTGTTTGACCTGCACTGAAATATGGAAAGGCCGCAGCGTAGACCCGTGACCGCGAATAGACATCTGTACAGTAACTGTGAAGACTCCATAGACAGATGACCAAGAATGCCATTTAACAAATAGCTATCCGTCTTCCCACACACAATATGGACCCTTTTAACGAAGTGCAGCTGGACGCTCAATCTCAGTTAACACACTTATCCAAGTTTATCAAGGCAGCTAGCGCGGTCGACAGGAATGTCGCCATCGACTTTGACAACCATGTGTCGGAGCTACAGGAAACATTGGTGGATCTCAACGAGTCGATTGAGATAGCTGCCAAGAACCCCACCGACTTTGGCCTCACACAGAAGAAAATTAACGAGAGATTGAAAATCGTGCACACGTTAGAGGCGCAGTTTGTGCTGTTAAAAGACGAATGGGCCGATAAGGTGGCGCCCAAGCGGAAGATCCAACAGCAGCCCGTCACTTCCATGAATAACAGAATCTCCCAGGAAGCCAATCCGTTTATGAGATTCGATGAGTTCGAGTCGAACAAGGCACAGGGTGATAGTAGCGTTTACACAGGGTTCCAGGAACAGGAGCTTATACAAGAGCAGGACGAACAGCTTGACTCTGTGTTTTCCACCATGCAATCTTTGAACCAGCAGGCCCGGACCATGGGTGAGGAGTTAGCGGAGCAGGGTGTAATGCTCGAGGACTTGGAAGAAAATATGGACCGCGTAGGTAACAAGTTGAGCCGCGGGATGAAGCGTATCGATCACTTTATGGAGAAGAACCGCGAGCGTGCCACCGACTGTTGCATTATTTTATTAGCCGTGGCGTTGACCGTGTTGCTTGTGCTACTCGTGGTGGTGTAGGTATGGAGGTCGATATGTGGCTGGTTGAAGGTATATCACTTGGAGAAGAAGTTGATCACTAGAGCTTACTATCCAGTTCAGTAGAACCATTCAAACCGGCTATATTCTGGAGGAAAGCACAAATGTTTGTTAGTGCTTGCACATGTATACTAATTTCCTTGAGATATATATAATCTATATCGTTAGAGGATGAGGATGCCATATATGTGCTAGAGGCAGATGAGCTACAGTGTGACACACGAATCTCCAACAATGACCATTAGAATTGACGCAGAGCGTATCATACGGGAAATTCCAGATCTAATCAATAATTAATATCGTTTCCAATATGGTTGGTTAAAATCCAATTTTCTGCGCGCATACTACACCGACGAGGTACCGAGAAGCGGTGTGTAGATCTGAATCCATCGCTGTTCTTCTCCAAGGCCTCCGCTACGCCCGTAGGTTATAAATTTAGGACTAACACAATATAAACGAATCAAAACAGCTATTTACGAGACTCTAGCCCTGATGCCCCCGGTTGCCATTACATCAGCCAACCGTTAAATCATTCTACTATATTGACGAGCTTGCGACGATAGAGTAGGACTATTGTGCATCCTTCTCGGGTAATAAACAAATCCTTGTGTATAGAGCCATATATTATAGCCTCAGACCTAGCGGTAGCAACCAGCACAAGGGTACACTGATAGGGTCTGGCGTGGTCAGGGCCAGTAAAATTATATGGAATCTCGAGTCTTCGCACGTAGTTTGGGATCGACTAACTAATAGAGTAATACAGATACGGTAGATTGAATTTGATCCTAGAACTGGTAAATCCAAAGCTAGGAAAAACAGTAAACTGCTGGCCTGTTTATATTTTCTTGGAAAGATCCTCTAATATGGATGGTGAGACCCCTTTCTGTTATGCCTACCCTTATGTTGTGGTGGGCAAATTCACTTAAGACGTGTGTTTAAAGTGAGCTCAAGGTCTAATGTGGATGATGTGCCGATAACACGCTGTTTTGACACAAATCATACGACTATGCACCTTCACCCGTGCATGCCTGATATTATTGGCGCTGGGAGCGTTACGTCAGAGAATCCCCAGGCAGCAAGGGTACTTATGTCTGCAAACATGAACGCACGTGGACATATGTCATAGGCTACGACGCTTATCCGCACATGTTGCTTATAAGTTTTTGCCGCATAAACGCGGATGTAAGGGGAATTTCTTTTTTCGCTCCACGGGTAAGCACCAAATTCAGGTCTGAGAACGTGTTGCCAGATGCGGTAGTTGACAAATCCAGCGACAGGAACAGACCACTTTGAAGCTCAAAAAATTTAACACCTCCAGCGTCAATACCTGATAAGAGTGGCCTAACCTTCGTGCTAACGCCAAATATTCATACGAACTAACCGTTCTAGTTCCAGTAGACTGCCTGTTCAACGATCCATACGTTCCCCAACGCCAATTTAGTGTGGAACACTAACCTTCGTGACCACGGACCCCAAGTAACGAAAAAGAGTCGTTATCAGCTTCACCTGAAACAACCACACGGGCGACATACGGGTGATTATCGATTTCACTTCGTGCTTGTACTAGATCTCCTACTTTTTCATTACAACGTTCCATATATGACTTCTGAGTACTTGCAATTTTCGTCCATCCCCTCCGGCGCCCATAAAGGCAAGCATCACATAATCATTGTGGGTGCTGGGATAATTGGAGTATGCACAGCGTACTACCTAACCCGGCATCCAGCGTTTGACCCCGCAACGCATCACATCACAATCATTGAGAGCAAGAGAGTCGCAGGTGGGGCCTCCGGAAAGGCTGGGGGCTTGCTAGCCCTTTGGGCATTTCCGCAGCAGATCGTGCCTATGTCCTTCCAGTTGCATCAAGAACTAAGCTCTGAGTATAACGGCGAGGAAGAGTGGGCTTACAGACGTTTGACGACCGTTAGCATCGAGGGCAACATAGAGAAGGAGTTGAAGGACAACGATTCACTCGACGACTCAGACGCTTCGAGCATATTGAGCAGTCACAAGCTGGAAGATGAGATGGCCGCAAATGGCCACACCTCCGATGCCACCACCGTTGCCAGCAACGAAAACATAGACAGTGTTGACCCTTACGGCTGCAAGGATGCCACGAAACCAACCGACCGGCCATCCAAGATCAAGGTGGTGCAGAAGAATTCAATCAAAAATGAACACTTCTCGCTCACCCATGGCGAGTTGCCAAACAACCTCAAGTGGATCAAGCCGGGGATCATCCGCGACTGGTCCTACCTTGGTGACATGGATTCCACCGCGCAGGTACATCCGTACAAATTCACCAACTTTATCTTGAAGAAAGCCATGGAGGTGGGTGGTGTGGAGTTAGTGCTCGGGAAGGTGAATGAGATCTTGTATGATGAAGAAACCGGCGCCACCAACGGTGTCTCGTATGACGTTTCGTCTGTGAAAACGCAGGCGAAGGAGACGACCGTGCCAATAGAACTCCATGGCAACCAGATAGTGTTATCAGTTGGCCCATGGACCTCCAAAATCCTCCCTGACTGCCCGATTTCCGGTTTGAGAGCTCATTCTATCACCATTGCTCCCGATCGGGGCCAGGTCTCGCCCTACGCAATCTTCACCGAATTAGCGATTGGCCAGGATCAGTACATCTCACCCGAGATCTACGCCCGCAAGGACGAGGTGTACGTGTGTGGTGAAGGCGACACCTTGGTGGACGTGCCGGAGACGACTGACGACGTGGAGGTGGTCAAGGAGAAGTGTGACATTTTGTTTGAGTATGTGGGGACCCTTTCCCCAAACTTGCAAAATGGCAGAATCTTGAAGAGACAGGCGTGTTACTTACCGGTGTTGGATGTTCCGTCATCCTCCGGCCCGTTGATTGGTGAGACAAACGTTGAAAATTTGTTCTTGGCGTCTGGTCATTCGTGCTGGGGCATCAACAACGCTCCGGGAACGGGTAAGATCATGGCGGAGTTATTGTTGGACGGCGTGGTGGAGTGTGCCGATATTTCGGCCTTGGACCCGTCTCTCTTTTTTGATGCCAGTGTGCTTAACTTTACTGCATGAAGGTCACCCTAACATCCATGGAACCCCCTTATGACTCATGACCCCTGCCTATCTTCCGCGGGCCGAAGCTGACCACCAGATACCTGCTTGAGACGGATACTGCACTAAAGCCAATCTTGCCCCATGGAGCGCTGTAATTCCAGCTGAAATCTACAAACTGAAAATAAAAATATAATTTCATTCTATTGCCTTCGGTAAGTCCTCATCCCCATGTAATATGGTGACTGAAGGCCATATTCCTCTGATAAGTATCGTTTTACTCCACTCGGATGTTTTTTTTTTTTTTTTTTTTTTTTGCACCAAGTCAGTTTCGAAAGCCAGAGGAGTTGAGGATAGTGCCCTCAGACCGATACGGTGGCGCCTGGAGTCTCCCAAGAATTTCTAGGACCATGGAGTTCTTGGAATTTTACAAAGGTGGGCCTTATGTAAATAATGATCGGAGAAACCGTTATAGTCGGAAATTGTGGATGGCTTGGACATCAACTAGACTAACTACAAAACTTTCCCTAGACGAAGGGGCCAATAATCCCCACCGTTAACTTCAATAACTATGTAGATCTGAAATATTTCGGCCAATACCGTATTTTTATATATTTCGCAGCCACCTAACCGTTGAGCTCTTAACTGAATTTTCACCCCACTCAGGTACAATTTAATTGAAATAGACGCGAAATATAAATAAGCGCAAGCTCGTTCGCCGTCAAATCTTTGCCCCAGACTCTTGGACCGCTAAACGACAATTCGTTCATTACTAAATATACAGATGCTGATACACATAAATAAACACACGAATAAATGTGCCTTTTAACACCATGCGTCCGAAACCACCAGGCAACAGAGAATTTCCATTCTCACAGCCTCCAGCTTGCCTCGGTTACGCCGCCGCACATAAATCTTCAAACAAAGTGGTTCTCGACTGCAATTCAGCCGCATCCACATGCGTCTGCTTAACCACCTGGAATGCACCAGTACCAATGGTCATCGTCTGCCCCAAGATAATACACTCAGACACACCTTCGACGGCATCGGTCTTCATATAGAATGACGCATCGAACAAATGGTCAGTGGTCTTTTCGAATGATGCCAACTGCAAGACCGAGTCTCTCATCTTGGACAATCCGAAGCGGGTAATCCCCAAGACCTCACCTTTGTAGGTCATGACATCGCCTAGCAACTGGATGTGGCGCGGATCGACACTCATCCCGTGCTTGGACATGGTATAATCAATTTCGCCCACGATCGAAGATCTCGCGGCCTCGATCCCCAATACCTCGAACACTTCGAGCACGTGGTTTGTGCTGGTCTTGGTCCCGACCACACCGTCTGTGCACATGACGTCCTTTAAGCCGTACCCTTCGACCAACAACTCTTTTTTCCCGTCGTCACGGATGTTGATGACCGCGCGCGCGATGTCGGACAACCCCTTGACGACGATCTTTGGTAATGCACGACGCAACTGTTGCATGCGGAAAAACAAGGAGTTGGTGACGGGCTTGTCGACAGTTCCCTTGGCCTCCGCGAGCTCTACCATGATGTTAATCTTGTCGCTGCCGTAGACCAACACGTCGGAGCTGTAGATCTTCAATTTTGGCGCTTTGACAATTGCCTTGGCGATGTCATCAATGGTCAACTCTAACTGCAACTTTTCGATGGTCTCCAAGTCCACGCGCACCTGGAGATATGACTGGTTGTCCTTGTACACGTCCTGGATGTAGAACGTAACGTCTTCTAACAATGTCTTCTCGACCCTCCCCTTGACGACACGTGCCGCTCTCTCGTCGTCATCATTAACTAAAACAGCGTTGATGATTGGCGTGGAGATGGATTTCGATGCGTTGATGATCTCCTTGATACGTGGCACACCGAGTGTGACATTCATCGACGCCACACCGGCAAAATGGAAAGTCTTCAAGGTCATCTGGGTACCTGGTTCACCAATAGACTGCGCACCAATGGCACCTACGGCAGTACCTGGCTCAACTCTCGCCTTGTGATACTTGTATATGCAGAATTCGAGGAACTTCTTGACAGTCGCGGCGGAAATTTTCGACACCTGGTTGATAATCGCGAGCGCCTCGGGGTTTTCTGTCAGAATCGGCACTCTCGGCGCATCCAAGAGTGTCGGTAACCCGTGCTTGTGTCTGATACCCCCGAGACGAGTTGCTTTCAGGTGTAAGAAGTCACGAATAGACTGGTAGAAATTTCTCTCGGCATCATCCTGGTCCACAAACTCAATGTCGTCCAAGTGCTCCTCCGGCACGCGGTGTCCGAGGTTGTCCAACCTCACAAGTTTGTCCTCCATCGGACGGAGGATCAGGTCTACCAACGCGTCGATGGCATATGGGGTCAAGCACTCATCCCTATGCGTGTATGTGAGGTTGTACGCATGATCCCATTGGCGGACAAAGTTGACTGGCTTGGCGTCACCCTCCATATCGAACGGATCCAAGCCATCCCCACCGTACTTGAACTGGACGATACCATTGCTCGAGTTTCTCACCGTGGCATCGTACTGCGACGACAAATCCTCCAAGGATTTCATCAAACGACGCGACATGTACCCGGTCTCAGCGGTCTTGACGGCCGTATCAACCAACCCTTCTCTCCCGGAAATGGCGTGGAAAAGAAACTCCGGCGGCGTTAACCCGGAGTAGAATGAGTTGCGCACAAAACCCTTAGACTGCGGCGTCTTGGATTTCTTGGCGAAATGCGGTAAGGACCTGTCTTGAAATCCGTCGGGCACACGGCTACCAGCAATAATCTGCTGCCCGACGACGGCCACCATTTGCGAGACATTCAAGGTGGACCCCTTGGACCCACAGGTGGCCATTATGAGCGGCGCATTGGACGGCGCAAGCTCGCGCACACACACCTCACCGACCTCTTCTCTGACCTTGGATAGTAATCCACCGATCTTGGCTTCCAAGGTCTGTTCCTCGTTACAGCCCGGCTGGGTCTCCAATTTACCCTGCTTGTACAAGCCAATCAACTCGTCACACTTGGCGTACGCCTCCTCGACCATGCTCTCCTTCATCTTCTTTAATTCGGTACCAGGAGTGACGTCGTTGATACCGATGGAAAAACCACGGTTCCCAAGGTACCTGGCACACATTTTGGCCATTCTGTTCATCGCCATCGCTGCGTCATCCGGACCATAATCTCTAAGAATCGTGTAAAACACCGAGTGCTTCTTACCGTCACCCAAAACGGACTTGTCCATTACACCACTCAAAATCTGGGAGCCGCGGATGACCACGAACCCGTCGTTGGGGGACATCTCGTTGGGGAAGCCCTTGAGCGGCGGAACAAACGTTTTGTTCTTCGCATCTAAGTTGATCACCACGTTCGACGCACGGTTCGGTTTGATTAGGAGCGAGAAGACTTGTTTCCCAGTCCAGAGAAACTGCGGCTTGATGATGGCCGGCGGCGGGATGTCGAACTGCGTGTTTGCATCCGACATCATCGAGAGGATCTGCGACAAAGAGGCACGGTCAAAGAAGGTATCCTTGTGGGAGATCAAGTAGGACCCGGTGATGAAATCTTGAGTAGCCGCAATGATCGGCTCTCCCGACTTCGGGGTCAACAAGTTATTCTTGACTCCCATCAAATTGATGGCCTCAGCTCTGGCTTCCTCCGTCTGCGGTACGTGTAAGTTCATCTCATCACCATCGAAATCGGCGTTGTACGGCGTGCATACACACTCGTTCAAGCGAAATGTTCTCCACGGGCGGATCTTGGCATAGTGCGACAAAATGGACAATCTGTGTAGCGATGGTTGGCGGTTAAATAACACAATGTCACCGTCCTCGATGTGTCTCTCGACGACGTCACCAATCAGGAGGTTGCGCGCTAACTTGGCCTTGTCACCAAAGCGGAGGTTACGCTTCGCTTCTTCGTCCTTCTTCATCAAGTAGTTAGCCCCGGGATGGACGTCCGGTCCGTTGAGAATCAAGCCTTGTAGCTTTTTGCGATTGTAGCGGGTGCATCTCTCTGGGTAGGTTAAGACCTTGGCCACTCTGTCTGGGACGGCAACCTCATCAATACGCAAGTTTGGGTCGGGGGAAATGACGGTGCGGCCCGAGAAATCCACACGCTTACCCGACAAGTTCCCTCTGAAACGCCCCTGCTTCCCCTTTAACCTCTGGCAGAGGCCCCGGATCGGCTTGGCATACTTTGCAGACGCGGATGCACCGGGAAGCAACGCGGCGGAAGCAGCATCCGAGTTAATGTACATTGCCACGGACAACTGGAGGTAGTCCCACTGTTCCATCAACTGGTTAATAGAGATCCCCTTTTCGATACCCGCCTTGATCAAGGAAGAGGTCCACACAATTTCTGTTAATTTGACAGTCAAGTCATCTTCATTGGACGATGGAGAATCCACCATCACCACTGACGGCCTGATACACACCGGGGGCGCCGGGAGGTATCTCCAGATATACATCTCGGGTCTTCCGCCACGAGAGGCGTCGATCCCAAGTAACTCGCAGTCAGATGCGGCAATCTGCTTGAAAAGGTTTAACACCTTAAGCGGATTCAAGTCATCCATACACTTTTTGGTGAATTTCACGAGATCTGGGTTAGTGTCATTAATGCGCTGGAAATCCGCATCCCACTCGCCCTTCTCGGAAACAGACTTCTTACCGATCCATCTGAACGTGTCATGGAGAATCTTCAAGGATGCGGCACCGTTCCCGGCAGCGGCTTTCTTCACCACACCGTTGAGGTTGTGGCATTTCAAGCAGCGTCTCTGCTTCTTGCATTGCTCCAACACCTTCTTCAAGATCTTCATGCGTCTCAAGTTGTCAAGGTTCGGTCTTCTCAAGTCAGCGAGAAACTGGCGCTTCGCCTCGTCATCGAGAAGCACCGAGGAGCACGTCTTACAGATCGTTTGCAACACCTGGATGATCAGTTTGAAGTACCCGACGTGAAACACCGGCAACGCCAAGCGCACATGCCCGAAGTGGCCATGACACGTGGCAAGAACCCCAGAACAGGTGGTGCACTCGGCTGAACTAGATGAAACACCCATCTTCTTGTCAATTGCCCCACCGGCCTTGGGGGTTCTGCCGTTCTCCAAGTCGTAGAGGTCGCGAGTAGAGATCTCCACCTCCGACTGCGCAACAATATCAGCCGCAGATAACGCGCCAAACTCAATACCCTTGATACATTTGGGAGCAATGTCCACGACAAGTTCCTTCATAGGGGAGTAGGTTGATGGGTTCGGAGGCCTTTTGATCTGGTTTTGCTAATTCTTTTTTTTTAGTAGCCAGACTGCAGGAAAATTTGATGGGCGGCGCACGACGCAGAGCATTTGTGCAGGCGATATGTTAAAGCGAGTGTGGACTGTCAAGAACAGGTGCTGTCTTCAAGCAACGCGGGCGGGGAGCGTGTTACAGCGGATTGAATTTCTGGAGGTACTAGAAAAATGAGTTATTTGAAGCTTGAAATACTACCTGGTTTTACTTTCATCGACCGGTGAGTCAATCATAGTCCACTAATAACCTTTAGTGCTATATCAGCCATGACAAGTTCTATGATTACGATTCATTGTATAGAAGTTTGAAAAAAGCAAAATATAAAACCAATGAGTGTAAGAAGTGAAAATAAAGAGAAACTAACCTATTAACTGAGAAGATTAGCGCCTCTACATCGAAATTTAAGGAAAGAACGAATCAAGGTAAGACTCATTCATGTATGCGGCATGCGGAACTAGAGAGGAGAAGAAGAAAGAGAGGAGTGGGGAAGGTGCAAAGATATTTGAAAAGGAAAATCAACTATCGTCAAACGTAGATGATGGAGTCGTTTGACCAAATACATCTGCACTTTTGGGGATGAAAATCCCACAGTAGACACCTGAGTGATAAGATCGACTTCGCGTGCTAATGGTTTAGCGATATTTCTCAGATGCAGATTACGTGCCTCTGAAGACTGTACTCACGTGATAAACTCTTTGGATACAGGACCTGAATTGGAACGGCGACATATCTCAGTATGGTCAGTGGCAACAGGCACTCTTTCCGCTATCATACCAGTCACAAATATATCAACAATGGCTGAATTACAAGATCAATATAAAGCTTTGGAAGAAGACGATGAATTCGAGGATTTTCCGGTGGACAACTGGGATGATGAACAGACCATCTCCAAGGACCAGCAGAACCAGTTGTGGAACGAAGACTGGGACGATGACGACAACCACGACGACTTTTCCCAAAAATTAAAGTATGTAACGAACAAGAACCTAGCAAATCCATGGTACTAACATTCAACAGGGCTGAATTACAAAAAGCTGAGAAGCCAGCTAAATAAGTGCAAGTTGTGTACTGGCTGTGTACTATATTCTGGTTGAGGGCATCGTTAGCATTCGGAGGAAGCCAGTCCTCTCTGCCCCAAGGCATTACGCTGGTGGCCTTATATACTCTGTACCTGAATAGTTTTTTCTGTCATTTGTCTTTGTAAGTTCTGACCATTTCAAGTCTATGTATCAGGTAGGACAGCCATGGTTCCGTTCTCAGAATGGCTCCATAGCGGTCAGATATGTCTGGAAATATGTTACAATCGTCGAAAGAGTAGACAAAAAAAGTGGCACTATCTACTCCGATATCTCACGTAGATTAGATCTTTAAGTCTAGCCTTTACTATCTCGGAGTACAGGAAAAGCCGCTATGCATAACCAGCTTGGATAAATAATTTCACTATTTAAGTCCTAAACCGTGATCCATTGCATATCAGTATTAGCGATAGTTGAAGTTGCTAATTTACGCTATACACACATCGTGGAAATATCTCGACGAGGTCAGAGCGGGTGAGGAGAAGTCCCAGCATCAGGGATCATTACAAGCAACATACTTTTGCACTACATTTTTTGATTATTCATCTGTTACTGACTGGCTCTCATACCCCACTGAATATTCGTAGCATGCAGCAGGTCTTTGCAGACAACGCGCTGGTTCCTCTCTTCAGACTCATTATTATCCTTCTCTCATTCTTCTCTACTTCTTAGCCCTTCCTAGAGGGTACACCTACGCTTATGTCAAAGATGTGATACTCACTATTATGGTATATTATACAATATCTAAAGGAGACCTTCTCTCAGTTCCCACCGCTTCTTTAGGCGTAGAAACTGACCGACTTGGACTTTCTGGCTTGAACCTCGCTGATGGCCTCGACAAAATCCTCATGCTTGATGATGCTCTTACCATTTCTCAAGGCGATCATTCCGGCTTCAACGGTGACGGCCTTCAACTGCGCACCGTTAAACTCGTCCGTGGACCTGGATAATTCCTTCCAGTTGATTGAATTGTCGCAGGTCAACTTTCTGGAGTGGATCTTCAAAATCGACTCTCTGGACTCCTCGGTGGGCAAGGGGAACTCGATCTTTCTATCCAAACGCCCGGATCTTAACAACGCTGGATCCAACACGTCCACACGGTTGGTTGCGGCCAACACTTTGACACGGTCGTCGGAGCCGAACCCGTCCAATTGGTTTAACAACTCTAACATGGTTCTCTGGACCTCTCTGTCACCGCTCTTTTCCGAATCAAAACGCTTGGTCCCAATAGCATCTAATTCATCGATAAAGATGATGGTCGGCGCCTTTTCCTTTGCCAAAGCAAATGCATCGCGCACCAACTTCGCACCGTCACCAATAAACATCTGTACCAACTGAGGCGCTGCCAACTTCAAGAACGTTGCATTAGACTGCGCGGCACATGCACGCGCCAACAACGTCTTTCCCGTACCCGGTGGGCCGTACATCAAGGCCCCCTTAGGCGCCTTAATCCCCAAGTTCTTGAACTTCTCAGACTGAGTCATTGGGAGAACTACCGCCTCGATTAACTCCTCAATCTGTTTGTCCAACCCACCAATGTCAGAATACGTCTCGGTAGGTTTTTCATCCACTTCCATGGCCTTAACTCTGGAGTCGTACTCGGACGGAAGCGTGTCCAACACAAGGTAGGAGTCTTTATTGACGCCGATCAAGTCGCCTGGCTTCAAGCTTTCGGGTTCGACCAACCCAATGAGCGGTAAAAACACGGTTTGTCTGGTGGATGTCTTGATGACGGCCGATTTGCCGCTTCTTGTGGCGTCAAGGTCGATATTGGCGCCCTGCTCCGTCGCCTCCTTCTCCGTCTCTAGGTCGAGCAACTCGACAATGTTGCCCACAAGGTATGGCAACTGCTTGTTATTATCGATCTTCTCCCTGTTGTCTTTGATTTTTTCGTTCATGGTCACCTTCTCGTGGTTCAATCTTTGGTACTCCGACCGCATCACCTTGATCTCGTTCTCCAACAATTTGCTTCGGTTTACGATGTCATTGGTTGCGGACTGTAAGATTTCTTGGTCTATTTCTTGTTCTTGCTCGAGCACGAGTTCTTCTAAGGTGGACATGGCGATGGGGTATGGGGGTGGGGGTACAACTTCTTGCCACCACTTTACTTTTAAGCGCCGAGATTCAAATAGAGAGATGGGCAAGGCACGACCCACATTGGAGGTCGGAGAGACTATGCAGGATATGCTGGTGCCGTTTATCTGCCATTGGGACTGGGCTCTAAGGGGAAAAATTGAAACTTATGACAAGTAGCTAGGATTAGGCTATCAATGCTGATGTCGTAGATTTGGGGGACGAAAATAGACTCAGGAGAGCGGAATCTATCGCATTTAGACTGTTTTTATTGTAGAGGCTCTCGATCCAAATAAGAAAACCAATATCAGGCTTATCATCTCCAATTCATTTGTGGTGTTACTTCATTTGCATGGGATTAAGAGAGCTGAAAGGTAATTGGAGAAATACCCTCTGTAACCCGGTATCTTGTCAAAAAAAAAAAAACAAAACCATTACGTGTGTTCCATTAAAAATCCCAGTACAACGCGCACGGACCAGGAGAGTCGAGTAACATGCCGCGTGAACACCATTATCAACGCAGCTGGAAAGAACCACCCCTAAATCTGATAAAGAAAGTTTCATCTATCAAACTCAGACTAGTCCGAGAAATGCATGATAGAGCTCTCACTTTCATCCTAAATTGACGTGATGCAACATATGCACATCTTCATAAACAGTACGTACATTTTACATTAGTAAAAGATTATGTAGTTAGATCTTGGTCTCAACTCAGGTAGGACCGGACTTGCACCAGGCCCCAGTCCGACATTGATCTCGGTTTTGTCTCAGTGTCAATTAGCCCCTCGTCAAAAGCTCATAGCTATTCTCTTTTGCTCTCTTCTCAAAGGCCCCCCGCAACCGACTCCACAATCCTGCCTGCACCCTGAGCCCCGAGATCGGGTCCTCCAAGTCCTTAAACTCCTCCATCTCCTTCGCAGTTCCCTCCTCAATCACCGGGGGTTGCCACTTCTTTAAGAGCAACGAAGAAATCACAACGCTCACAGAGGAGAGAGCCATCGCCGCGGCCGCACCCATAGGTGGCAACGTGACACCCCATTTCAAAAAGAACCCCATCGCGACGGGCAACATCACACAGTTGTAAACGACAGCCCAGAGGAAGTTCAAGCGAATTCGATTAAACGTCGCACGTGCTATAGACAACGCCGCAGGGATGCCCAGAAGTACGTCACCATGGGTGATCAAAACCACGTCCGCGGCATCGACAGCGATGTCAGTCCCGGAAGAAATAGAGATCCCAATATCCGCGGTGACCAACGCAGGCGCGTCGTTGATGCCGTCGCCTACGAACGCGACATTTGCACCAACGGTTGCCTGGAGGTCGCTGATAAACAGTGCCTTGCCTTGCGGCGAAACCTCGGCGAAAACGTTTGGTGCGGGGATCCCAACAAGATGGGCAATGCGGAGCGCGCTCTTGCGATTGTCACCGGTGATCATAGCCACGCGGAATCCGGACGCCTTGAGGTATCGAATGACGTCCGCGGAATCCTCCTTGACACTGTCTATGAGCTCGACATAGCCCGCATAGTGGCGATTCACGATCATGTACGCACGTGTGGCAGTTTCGTGCGCGACAATCTCCCTGAGCGCATCGGACGAAAGCTTGGGGCGAACAGAGTCAAGAAGGCGCGAACTGCCGATCTGCACGTCGTACGCCTGGTCATGCAACATAACGCTGGCCTTGATCCCTATGCCCAATACTGTCTCGACATTTTTCATCGTGCACTTGTCAAACACATCGTCATCGCCCATCTGGAGATGCTCTTTTGCCGCCGTCATAAGTGCGCGACCAACCGGATGTTCACTGGAGCTCTCCAACGCACCGTACATGTACCACCAATCGGTCTCAGCAAGCTTCTCGAGGCTGGCAGCGAAGCGGTAGTTGCCCACTTGGAATTTGCCCGTGGTGAGTGTCCCGGTCTTGTCAAAGATCACTGTGTTGATACCCTGAACCTTCTCGAGCACGCTACCGCCCTTGATGAGGATCCCATGCGCCGCACCCACGCCCGTGCCCACCATCACTGCGGTGGGAGCCGCAAGCCCGAGCGCGCACGGACACGCAACCACTACGACGGAAATTGCCAAGCGCAAGCACGAGAAGAAGCGGCCGTTGGGCGCGTTCACTCCAAACATATATGCCATCGTCTCGGGCGCTACAACGTCATGCGTATACGCATACCACGTCCAGTACGCGAGTGTAAGAACCGCCAAACAGAGAACCATCGGTACAAATCGCCCGGCAATGTAGTCCGCGTACTTCTGCACTGGCGCCTTGGTCGTCTGCGCATTCTTGACCAACTCCACGATTTGGTTAAGCTGGGTTTTGTTACCGCTGGCCGTCACGCGCATGTGGAGGAGGTGCGGACCATTGACCGCGCCTGCAATGAGCTGTGCACCGTACTTCTTGACCACTGGGAGGGACTCACCGGTGAGGAGTGACTCATCGACCTCGGATTCGCCAAATACGACTACACCGTCCGCAGGAATTTTGGAACCGGGGAGGACGATGGCGATGTCAGAGAGCTGGATGAGGCCGATGGGGATTTCGCGGGTGCGAAAATTTGAGAATTCCATCCTGTCGGGCTGCTCCGGCCCACTAGGAGCGGAGATGATCTCGGAGGCAGCCTCACCCGAGGAATCACCCAGGAAATTTCCTGAGGCCTCGCCGTTTCCTAGTTTGACGTCATCAATAAGGGAATTGCCCAGGAGGCTTTGCCTTGGGCTCTGGACCGCATTCTCTCCTAGCGTGAGAAGCTGCGAATTGTATCCGACAGCATCCTCCACAATCGTGCACGTGCCTGGCTGCAAAGAAAGAAGCTGGGATAGCACCGTGGACGTTTCGCCCTTGGCCATGGTCTCCAAGAGTTTACCAATGGAAATGAAAAAAAAGAGCATGGCGGACGTGGAGAAGAGCACCATTGGTGGAGTTTGGCTTTGTTTGGCCCAGCTCACCGCTGTGGAAAAGAGCGAAAACGCATAGGAAATCGTTGTAGATATCACCACAAGGAGGTCCATTGTCGCCAGGCCGTGCTTTAAACCCTTGTAGGCGCTCATGTAGTATTTGCGGCCAAGCACAAACTGGATAATTGTCGTGAGCACGAACTCCACTACCGTCTCGAGGTAAAGCCCGGGGACAAGCTGCAAATTGAGGTTGAGACCAAGTATGTGCATCACGTTGTCGAGGAAAAATACCGGGAGTCCCATGAGGCCGAGCTTCCAGCACATGGCCTTCCAGAACTGGATATCCTTAATCTTCAGGAGAAGTGACACCTGCGCCGAATTGTCAAGCGAGGAGGAAAGAGTCGCCTTGAAGCCTGCGTCAGCGATAGCATCCACAATGTTTCTCGCTCCGATAACGGCCTCGTCGTAGACAATGGCTGCCTCCTCTGTGGCAAGCGAAACGGCAATGGATTTGATCCCGGCGAGCGCCGCAACAACAGACTCAACCGATGACGTGCAGCTGGCACACGTCATGCCAAAGACCTTGAGGCTAAGGTCCTTCTCGGTGTGGAAAAGATCGGGTGATACTGTGTGCGAACGGGAGTGCTTATCCGAGACGACTAACCTTGTCTCATAGCCGCAATCACTGATGGCCGCGGCGAGGGTCTGCATCAAGACACTGCTGCCGTGCTGTATTACTGCAGTACTTGCCAAGAGTGACACGTTTGCAGTGATGACGCCCTCCGTTGCCTCGAGCCGTGTCGTGAGCGCGGAAACACATGCGCCACACGTCATGCCCTCGACCGTGAATGTCGATTCGTGCACGTCTTCGTCTTTGGTCTCGACGATATCGCAGTCGAAGCCGCAGTCTTCAATAGCCTCTTTGATCTGGTTGGCTGTGAGTGGCAGAGTGTACTTGACGGTGCCAGTTTCTGTAATCAATGAGATGGAGGCCTCTTTGACGCTGGGGATCGATTCGAGTGTGGATGTGATGGAGGCAACACATGCACCGCATGTCAT